TAGTACTAATAGTTTTAAAAATCATAATAAGAAAAAATCCAACAATAATAGCAACAATAATGTCAATATCACTCTAGTAGTAATTTCAATAATAATTTTAATCATAATCCTAATAATAACTCTAATAATAATTCTTATAACAATTGTAATAGTAATTCTAATTTCTATTTTAGTAATGCTTCTAGTAATACTTCTGAGAATATTTCTAATAATAATAATAACAACAAGAAATTTCTAATACAAATAGTAGTAATAATGAATGTGATATTAAGTCGAATAATAATTCTAAAAACAAATTTTAGTAGTAGTTCTGATAATCATATAACAGTTCTAATAAGAGTTATAATAATTACTTCTAATGGTAGTTCTAATAATCATTCTAATGATAGCTCTAATAATATTACTAATTCATTCTAATAATACTAATAATAATCACACTAATACTAATACTAATACGAATACTAATACTAATACTAATACTAATACTAATACTAGTACTAATAATAACAATAATGATAATAATAATAATAGTAATAGCAATAATTTTGGTCGTTTCAATCCTATTGGAGCGCATTGCGGCCTTTTGCAGCGTTTGGGCTTGGGGTTGGAGAGGTCTCCCGGATAGAGGGGTTCCTATCAACCCTATGAGCAGACGCCGAAACTACTGGGATCGTTTATTTGTGGAGAGCCCCAAAACCTTTAACCCTAAACCACCAAAACATCTCATTGGAGGCTGCTGTATCAATTATGGGCTTCTCTCGGGGTATGGCATCGGTTTTGGGGTACATGACTGTGTGATGTCATAATCTGAAAAGACGGGGATTTCATAAAATTAGGGAACCTAATATGGAACCCTAGAAAATCGGAGCCTTCATATAATGACCCCAAGAAGGGACCCCTTGTTTCGTGAAGCCTCCTTACATGAGAGCCCTCTTCGCCCTGACCCCTAAACCCTTTTTGGGCGAAGAGTATCCCAAGAGAAGTATCCTGAGGATTCTGGGGTCTCGAGTCACACACTTGAGGTCTTTCCTTCCTCCCGTGGTTTCATTCTGTTTTGCATTGTTTTCGGGTTTAGGGTTTTAGGTTTAAGATTTGGTTTCAGGGTTTAGTGTTTCGCGGGGGCTTGCTTGAAACTCCATCCCGGCGAGCCGGAAAGGGCTCAGTTTAGAAATGTACCTAATGTTGATGTGGGCCTGCCTTGGCGCTCTTGTTCGTTTTGGGGGTGTCCCTGTAACTAATAGCGATCCTATCGTATGTGAGGGCTAGTTAGGGGCTCCTTTGTCTTTGGCTCGAAAAACGTTCGACAGAGCCCCGAGGCATGCAGCCAGTGCTTCTCCAGGCACCTTTGCCAATGAGGCCTAGGATGACTTCAGGAGGACCTTCTGCTTCAGTGTTCTTAGGAAAATTTTTAAAAGTACTACTTTCATTATGGTTCAAAGGGCGCTTAAGTCTGCAGGATTCAGCCAACACGCCGACAAGAAGTTTGAAGATTCTACTTAAGGGGCCATGTGCCCCCATTTGAGCTGCTAAATATAGAAGCCTGAGTAAATACCAATACTATTCCTTTGGGTTCCTGAAACAACTGTAGCACAATATCCCCCAAACCCTATTCTAATTATTCAGGCCGCTACGTAAACTCCCACATGGACGTTTCCATCAGTCATACCGAGCCCCGAGTCGGGAACTTTCGGGAACTTCGACTTGAAGCTGTTGTTGCACCAACCCGAGGCCTACATATAAGGGCCAGGGGAAGAACCCAAACACAAGGATCCTACCTATATGTTTTACTTATTATTATTATTATTAGTAGTATTTCTATTTATCATCGATGATTGTTGTTAGTAGTATTTTCTTTATTACTGTTATTAGGTACTATTCCTATTACACGGATCCTACCTATGGGGTATAGTAGCCCTTATAGTAAATGGGAGGGCTCCCGAAACCCGTAATTGGGAGATCCTTCTGTTCAGGTGCGTTCTTTGGCTGCTAACTTACCTTCTACCACTCTACCCACCCAACACCTAAACCCTAAACCCCTTAAGCCCTGTATACCCTAAACTCAACAGGGAACCTAGTTTAGGTCTTCGCTGGGTGACTTTAAAAGGCTGCCTAAAAGGAGCCCCACGCCCTCTTTAAAGGAGCGCTAAAAGGATGAAGTTTCAGAGCATGAAAGCTTTACTATGAAAACGTAAATGATGAGTAATACTATGGTTTAGGGTTCGTCATATAATTTTTATAGTAGAACATACACCCCCCAAAACCACGTTAAGGCCCCTACATGACCCAGACATCGGGGAACGAGCTCCTGCTTTGAGGCTTCACCTTTCTTCTTAGTTGTGTTTAGGATTTGGAGGTTCAGGGCTTACAGAGCTGTTCGGTCTAGAGGTTTACAGTCTTGGGATTGGCGTTTAGGGTTTAGGATGAGATCTTCGCCCCCTGTGCGGCCATTGGGCCTTGCAGTTTGGAACTTGATCCAAAGCTTGAGGTCCCAATTAACCCCACCTGCAATAAAACCCTATTAAATCTGAGTATGAGACTTGCATAAAACCCCTATCTGACCCTCATAGAACCCTGAAGTTAGCGGCCTAGTGTCCTGAGCCTTCAGCTCCTCCTACATCACAAACCCTCAAGACCGAAGGTCCTTTTCAACTCCCCACCCCGAACCCTAAATCCCAAACCCATAAGCCGAAAACCCCGAAACCTAGTATTGTAGTAGCAGTAGTAGTAGTAGTAGTAGTAGTAGTAGTAGTAGTAGCAGTAGCAGCCCTAAATCACTAAACGCCAAGCCCAAACCTGAAACCCTAAACAGTAAACACCTAAGCCCCAAACCCTAAACGCTGAACCCCAAACACCTCCAAACCTTCGGCGAGCCGAACAGCTCTTCGAAGGAGAGCTCACTCTCCGCTGATCGCACGCGGCCAAGGCCTAGTGTTGGACCGATGGGAGGCCGAGCGGGCTTCATCGGATTTTACAGTGCATTTTCCATGGTTTATCTAGGCTCTTTAAGGATTTTGTAGGGTTTTATAAGGGTTTACCAGGTTTTTATCAGATTTCAAAGGTTTTCATTGGGTTTGTATAGGGGCTTTATCGGGACGCTTTCTGAAGTTGATCGCGAGTGCTGGGCCACAGCCTGGCCGCAAGCAGCGTCAGGAGTCTCCTTGCGGCCTAGCATGGAGGCTCTTGTAGTAAATGTATAGAGTATAGTATAGTATATGGTATAGTGCAGTTTAGTGTAGAGTAGTGTAGTGCATGATAGATAAGCATAAGTATACGTATAAGTATAAGTATAGGTATAAGCGCATACCGTCTAGTGTCTAGTGACTATAGTGTCTAGGGTATAATGTACAGTTTATAGTGCATAATGTTAGTGTATAGTGTACAGTGTATAGTGTAAAGTGCATAGCGGTACATCGTGTAGCGCATGCGTCGTATAGTGTGTGGTGTACAGGATATAGTGTATAGCATAAAGTGTGTAGTATAAAGTATAAGGTGGGGGCTTCCGATAACAAGGGACCCTCATATGGAACCCTAAATCGTAAGATCCCTACTATAAGGACTCCCCCCAAAAGGGACCCCTAGTCTTTGGGAACCCCCAAGTATAAAATAAGCAGTGTACAGTATATAGTAACGCTGTATAGTATAGTAAACTAGTTGAGTAGTTCTGTAAACTAGGTCCTCTTTTGGGTCCTCATTATAATCGTGCCGCCTTATATTGGGGATCCGAAAAGGGACCCTCATTTTCAGAACTCGCCACCTGTAAGTAAGGTTCGGAAGTGGGGGTGCAGGATGTGGATCTGCAGCCTTTGAAGTATAGAGGGGCCTTAATAATTAGAATAGGGTTTGGGGGTGAATTATACTGTATTCATATTAGGAACCCTAAACCATAATCTAACTAATGATTTAGGCTTCTATATTAGAAGCCAGGACCTTTTAAGGAAGATTCCCTAATTATCCTAGCCCCTTTAAGGTAAATGATAGGGGGTCCTAATTATCCTGGTCCCTTCAAGGTAAATTATAGGAGATCCAACCATCAATCCATATTCCAACTTTCTGGAGTTCCCTTTAGCTGTACAGGGATCAGGCGAGGATCACATCGCTCATAACATTATCTTGTATTACACTGTATGATATGATAGGATGTGCTGTGGTATGATACGATATGATACAGGACGACAGGATATGGCATCATATGATACGATATGATGTTTCCTTTTTTGACCTTTAGATTGTATAGTATAGTATAGTTCAGTATAGTCTAGTATAGTACAGTAGAGTAAAGTACATTGCTCAGCGTTGATCCGCGTGGCAGGCTTCAAGTCGGCTGCCTCCTGGACGCTGGGACATAGCTCCATCGTAGAAAGAACAGCTGCAAGTGCAGGGCTTTCTCGAGAGTTTATAGGGTTTTATGCAGAATTTCGAAGGTTTGGTAGAGCTTCATCCAGGTTCGTAGAAGAGAAGCTGCTAGTGCCAGGAAGTGCCTGGAGTTTAGGGCTTGAGGGTTTGCGGGTTTGAGGGTCTAGGGCTAGGGTTTCAGGTTTGAGGGCTTGAGGGTTTGAAGGCTTAGGGTTTAGGGTTGAAGGTTTAGAGTACAGTGGCTCAAATCAGTGAGCGATGGTGAGCGGTCCCGGTTTGCATGCGCACTGTGCGCTATTGTTGTTATTGCATGTTAGTCATGTTATGTCGTGTTTTATCGGCAAGCCGCTATTTCTTGCGATGAAGAAAGGACGGAAGGCAGGCAGCCAGGAACGACAGTAGGAAGCAAGGAAGGTGAAGCATTACATCCTGAGCTTCGGCTGATGCAAGCAGGAGCTGTCTAACAAGAGTGGCGATCGCGTTTCGTTCTTGGACTGAGAGCCGGCCTGCATCGGTCGCCGACAAGAGAGAAACCGTGTCGAAAAGCGCCGCCACAGCTTGTTGACAGCAGCCGGAGCATAAAGCTTTAAGCAGAAGCCGTGTTGGTTCATTGATAGTTGAAGAATTTTTGTTGGCGGAGAAGCACCATGGAGCGTGGTACGTTTCTCGGCTGCACTGTGGCTGGAAGTGAGCTCCCAATGCCGCAAGCACTTCCAGTCCCTGAATCCCAAGTTATTCGAGCTTGTGTCAGACAAAGGCGCATGGAGCTCCCCCCGCCGCCACCTGCCGCCGGCTCAGCTGCTTGGCTTGGGGTTTAGGGTTGCGGGGAGCTGTCCATGTTTCATGTCCTTGCCTGATATCTCGGAGTGAAAAGGTGCTTTGGATACTGCTGCATGCTGAAGCCATGTTGAATTTGGAGGATGGCATCGCCAACCATGATTACGACGAGAGCGGCAATGAGAACGATGACGAGGCAGTTGCTATTCCACTTTCCTCCCCTTGGAAAACAGCTAAGGCTACTGTCTCTGCCGACCCATGGATGCCAAAACCCGACAAAACCCTCCTGGCCTCGCCAGAACCCCACAGCCTCGGGTGAAATGATGCCGACATCGGAAGCTTAGAAACATCTGCAAACATGCAGCTTCAGTCCAAAATCCTTGCTTGGCTCTATACGCTCTACACACCTTATGCTTCTCACCACCAGGAGTTCTGAGCTGTGCAGTTTCTAAAGCAGTATCACATCCGTAGCCAAAGTTGTCGAAAGCGTTTCATGGAACCACGGCCATGATCCAGAAATGAGCAGTTGCCAGTTGCCTGACCTCCAGGGCATGTGTAGATCAACTGAATCAATAAATGGTTTTGCAAAGATTCCAGAGCAAGTTCATGGTGGGACCCCCGAAGCACAAACCAACAGGTGCCCTCTGCATGCGTGAAGACAGAGACTCCTGTTCTCCCCGCTGCCGCCAGGCTTTCCATTCGAAAGTGCCTGACTCTCAGCTCGAAGGGGTCCAGACTCAGCATACTACAGACCGTACTGTATAGTAGATCATATGCTGCGGTATACCGCGCCCTACTTTTGCGCTTTTGCGCAGGTGCCGCTATCGTGCATGTCCTCTGGGTTTTGGGTTGCCTCGAAGCCACCCTCCAAAATGGAACCTGTGCAAAGCCGGATGCAAGCTGCCTTCAGGCATCAGTGCGAGCAGCAGATGGTGCAATATACTTACATCCGTGATGACCCGTCGGGGAACATGTTCCGGGGCCTTCAGACAACCATGGAGATAGCTTGAGTCGGCAACATCGAAAGCCAGAAGCCCTAAAAGTTTGATGAAGCCCTCTCAGCCCTCCACTGGCAGGTCGGATGAGCAGCGATTGAAGCTCCAGGACAAGCTAAGTCAAGTGTCAGATGGACAGTTTCGCTTGTGAGGGTTCTTTCTGGGGTTCACATATCATGCGCAAACGCTTCTATGGCCATGCACTGTAAGGGCCGGGTTATCGAATTGTGAAACTATGCCCGGGCCTTTGAACTTACGGAGTTTGATTGCAATGCATGCTTTTGCTCTGAACGCTCGGGTGAAGGCCGTCCTCCTCCTCCTCCTCCTCCTCCTCCTCCTCCCCTGCTGCTGCTGCTAGTACCGCTGGTAATGTGCGCGCTAATACTCGCGTTGCTACTGTTACTATCATGGTTGTCAGTATCATTCATATGATTGTCAGTGGTACTGTAATGTGGGGCCAGAATTCAGGCAATAACCTCAATGTTCCGGCCACCGACAGGCCGGCAGCACCTTGCATTTTCTATCAATGCCGCGAGGACCTCAACAAGTTGTTGGACATTTCCGTGGAGCACAAGGGGCAGCAAATTGTGCCTTGAGCAGCACTGGTTGATTCTTCCGGAGTTTCGAAACCGGGTTCCTCAGCAGAAGAACCAGTTTGGTCATGCTGGACCATCTGTCTCCGAGGTGGTCGTGGGGGACACGTCTGCGGGCAAGTCCACAACAATCAACTTTTTGCGCCTCGGCTCTGCATAACCTTTGGAGAGCTCCTTTTGAAGGAACCTAGTAATCGCCTGTCTCACTGTTGATTAACCCCCTGGCTGATACTTCTAGTTGAAACATTTGGCCGTTTCATTGTCAAGGAGCGGGTTTTGTTGATGCACCCGGCTCCACCCCTAAAGCTTTAAGACCACAGTGACTACAGCAAGGATAACAAACCCTTGCAATCCATTCCGATTGATTCCCCACTGATTCACCTGCCTTACGTGTCGTCTCGCTCCCTTTACCTGTAGTCTTCCTGGTGTTTTCTGAACTTTTGGTATTTAGAGGTGGGTTGATGAACGCCGTGAAGCTACAGTAGTGTTTAGGGTTTAGTAACTACCACAACTTTGAAGGCAAAATATCAAAACGAGGGCCTCAACTTAATACCTTAACTTGATAGTTGTTCAGGTAGAAAGTTGGCAGGCGTTTTTTTGGGAATCGTTGCTATGTGGAGTCGTGCTGTCCCGGGTTTCCGTTCTGGGTCGTCGCATGTGCGGCGTGCTGTCGGGCCATCCTCACACAGCTACGCTCGACCTAGAGCTCTAAACATGCAAAAGTACCTGCGTGCAGACGGAAAAGAGCGCTCCAAACAAAAAAGCATGGAAAGCCTAGGATTCGTCAACTGCTGCAGTATGCATTACTATGCTAGGATAGGAGTATGGTAGTATATTGGCTCTACCAGGAAGGGAGTGTAGTAGTGGTCGTATGGCAGCATCTTGGTAATGTTGTAGCATACTACTATGTGCAGCTTAAATCCCAAGCCCTAATCCTGGAATCTAATCCACCAAGGCTGGGCTACCCGTTCAACTTCGTTGCGAGGGGCATTGGAACTCGCCGGCCGGAATGCTCAGGATTTGAGGCTCGTGGCCCAAATATTCCGAAACGGCAGAAGCAGTGCAAGCCTAAAAGTCATGATAGCAGAAACACTTGTACGTGTGTGGTATGAAGAATAGTACTACTACGTCATGAGCGTCATGGTAGCAGCATGTGCTCCTGGTAGGATTGTACTGGTGTTAGCATGAGGAGTAAAGCCATTTTTGCGAGTATCATCCGAGAGTGCCAAATGTGCAAAGAGTGGGATCCTATGCCTTCAATGGGTCCAAACTCGCAGAGCCGCCACATTGCAAGCTGAAAGTCAAACAGCAGATGCAGTTGGCTTCAGCTAGGCCATGCGTCATGACCTTGACCAAACACCCGGACTACGACTTGGCCAGGGCCCATGAGGAGTTGACACAACTGCTAAGATCGCAGAGTCCATCGCAGAGTTCTGAGGTGCACTTCAAGGTTAAGTTCGAGAAGAACGATTACAAGAAGGAGGAGTTCTGCACCTGCCTTCAAGATGCGCCAGCCTCGGGCCAATCTCCCAACGAGATCTTCTCTTTCCTTCCTCCTAGGTCGTTCTTCTTGTTTGATGCTTATCGTTGTCTTTGCCAGGTTGTGGAGCTCCTTGCAGACGTGAACGACCCGAGGATTCATCCCGAGTGGTACCTTCTGGACTCGTTTGGCAAAACTGATGCGGCCTTAAGATGTTCTTACACGGCCTTCATTTGTAGGGGCGCTCAGTGCCGCGGCAAAAGCTTTGCTTAAAACCATCCGATTCGGATACAAGCAGTTGAGCATAAAGGTGTCAGAGCCTTTCCAGTGCAGCAGCTGCCCTTCAGACGTTTTCACCTCGCAGATATGTTTCTCCCTCTCGGATTCAGCAGATGGATCACATGCCACGGGGTGTGCCAGCTCAAGCCAGCCAGGTTTGATTGTTTGGAGGATGAGAAATTGAAAGAACGCGCCTCAGGGGTTCCATCGCCGATTGAATTAAGGGCTCACATGAAGGTGTCAGGATGAATGCAGCAGCATGTCCTCAGGTCGATCCAGAAGATGCGTTTGACCAGACACCAGTCTTTGCGGGGACCTTGTCCCCAGCTTGAAGTGCCACCTTCCCTCCGCTCAGCCAAAGCCGTGAAGTATACCATAAGCACTATATGTATGTATGTGTGTATGTATGTATGTATGTATTATATGCATGGTATGCTCGCTGTGGAATGCTGCAGCATACGATGATACTGTAAAGGTCTATGTGTATATACCTATGTAGGTAGATAGATAGATAAGTATAGACATAAACATAGATACACAATATGACTCTAGGATACGCTGCTGTACTCAAAGAAGATGTAGTGGTAGCCTGCATAGTATCCTCTCGACACCCCAGGTCGAGTTGTTGCACAGCGGGATCGAGGTCCCCAGGCGTTTGGTTGATGTTCCAGGCAGAGTGCTTGGCGTGAAGTCACTGCATTTCTCGCTGGGTTCAGAGGGTGAGTGCGCTGGGTTCAGGATCAGGACTTGGGTGTCAGAACCCAGTGCTTACAGTTTAGAGTTTAGAGGGTGTCGAGTGGTTTCAGGCAAAAGGGGCATGGCTGGCCATGAACCACTGGAACAAATCAGTCAGAGCATCCATCGTGTAAGAACAGATTCGAAAGAGGAGCACGCGCATACTCATCAGTTGAAGTCGTCATCATCTCGACCATGTCGTTACCTACGCTTGTCTTCACCATCAAAAACAGAACAAGAGAGAACAAAGCCTTCGTTCAAGGTCTGAGCCGGAACCATGACCGCACGCTGCAGATTGCTGCAAACTATATCCGGCAGCCTTCCCAGTATAGTCACGTTCAGAGTTCAACAGTGCTTGCAGTTCATGGCTCGGTTTTGAATTTGAGGCCTGAAAACATCGTCATCCTGGTTGTCGGCAAGGATCCCGAGAGATAAAACATATGCGGACCTGAAGCTTTCGCAGGTCCTAGGCCTTTCAGGCCTGCAGCTCCAAGGCTCAAGGCCTCGGACATGGGGGTACAGCATCTAGTAGGATGCACCGCAGACTGGTGCCTGTAGCGGAGGCCACAAGTCACAGTTAAGCTTTATCAGTAGTCAGATCTTCGTTTTGTCGTGGCCAGGGTACTCAGCATTCAGCCGCTGTCCGGCCTTCATTGGTTGTATGTAGCTGGTATTGGCGTGCTTTGACCGCATGTCCTTGGCGCCAGTCAGCGCTCGGATTCTTCTCGAACCTCCCGAACCCTGAATCTCCTCTCTGCTTTGGCTTCGCGAGGACCACGTGAACAACGGTGGTTTCCCCAACCTCGCTGCAGCCATGAGGTGCCAGCGTCCTTTGCCTGGGTTTGCCATGGTTCCTCATAATTGTTAGTTCTGCTTGTGGGAGGTTTTCATAGAGGCTTGGTGTTCGGAAGAGAAGATCCTCATCCGAGACCTCCCCCTTCTCACCATCATAAAGCACCGAGACCAGGCACAAAGATTCAATTGATGAGAGTCTTTAGAGTTTTTTTGGGGGGAGTGAAGGTCGGGTCGGGAAAGGATTCGGATCCACAGGTCTCTTCGGCTTCATTGAACCTCGGATCTGCAAATCTAGACGTCTGTACGGCTTTACGGACTTGACAGAGCTGAGTCCACCCTGCGTTGGACAAAACGAGGGCTGAGTGAGGGTTCAGGGATTTCTACTGCCACAGGCCAGTATGGATCCCTTTTTGATAGTCACCCGATTGTGCTGTGCCCAAGCCTTAACACTCACCTCGTACGCCCGAAGTCCTACATTCTGTAGCCACAACCACGGACACGCATCATGCATTGCTGCACATACTTAAGAACCATGTTAATTTACCTGTACATTGCCGAATTGGAAGGGTCTGCCCGCACACGATCGTGGTGCAGAACTTCGCCACCACAGTATTGAAGGACAACCAGGCAAACGGTACCCTAAACTCTATAGGGTTTCCTTAGCCCCAAAGACCAAACCTTGCAGAGTTAATAAGCTTTAATCCCTAAATCCCAAACAGTGCTTCAGAAGGCACCATGCCCTTAGTGGTCTTTAGCTCAAGGGCAGGCTGAACACTGTTGTTTGAGGTTTAGCATTTATTCAAGAAGCGGGCTTATGTCGGGTTGCTATGCTACATGTAGCAGGTCAGCTCGGTGCCAAAACTCTGTCCAAAAGGGCACCTTTACACCAGAGATCAGCGGGTCGGAGGGCGCTGGTGGTTTCTGGAAAGGTTGGGGCCTCGTTGGCAAACCCTATCAAATTGTATCTCGACACTGGAAGCCTAGCCTGCCATGTAGGTGGATTGGAACCCCAATCTATGCAAAAAACGGATGGCCGGAAGCCGCTCGGGATTTCTAGAGGGATGAAGCCTGATAATGAGGAGGGCACAAGACACAACACGCGCAAAGAGATTCAAAGATGCAAAGCCATGCGGGTCTACAGCCTCGTTCACGGTCGCCACCCTAACAGACCTTCATCCGTGAAGCCTACGCCCTGAGTTGCTCTAGACGAAGAATGAATAGGTTATGACGAAACCCTAAGCCCGGTTCTTCTGGACACCATGCTCTTAGTGCGATTTTTATCTCAAAGCCAGGCTAAATGCCACGGCTCATGATTTGTTTTGGCTTTTGGGTTCGGCTTAATGCTTAGAATACCGAAACACCATAGAAAGACATAGATCAATTTTCATGTTTTCAGCTGTAGGGGTATCCATGCATGGAGATCCCATCCTGCTTCTATGCTTTCTGCTGTCTGCTCAATGCTGCTGCAATCTTTCCTAATGTTTTCTGTGAACTTTCATGGTTGTCTATTGTTGTTTATGTGTTTTCTGTTTCCTGTTTTCGAAGTATTTCCACATTTGTTTGTTCCTAAGCCTCGCTAGGTGTTTTCTTAAGGGCGTTTGTCCAGTTCGGTGGTTTTGAAAGCAATGTTCGATAGCGTTCTCATCAGTATATGGTATAGTAGGTTGCGGGATCGTCCAGGTGTAGAGTTGGCCCACAGTAAGCTGAGTTTGCACAGTGTCAACGAATAAGTGCATATTTGCGCTCTTCCATCCTATGCAGCAGCAGTCCAAAGAGCCTATTCCAGTCTTCACGGTTCTCGCCTGAAGTAAGCCCAAACTATCGGACGTCAAGGCTCACAAGCTTCCAACATGGAATTTGCATTCCCTGAGGTTCGAACCCCAGAACCCTAGAGTAAATGGCTTCGCCGGACCGAATTTGCAGTGCAATGCGACTCTCGATTCCGGCGTTTCTTGCACACCGTGCCATGTTTCCTTCGCTTTCTAGCAGTGGCAGCCATTGGAGAAAGATCTTTGTCATTGGTGAAACAGTAAATATCGCGATACTTGTTGTTGCATGTCCATGCTTGCAGTCTTTGCGTGCAGGCCCAGGACAACATGAAGACCATTTCGGACAAGATGGGGAATGGAAAGGCTTGGCTCTCAGATGTCAGATCACGGCAGTTGAGCGCACGTTAGCAGGTCTAAAGTGCACGACAGGAATGACCGATGGGCAGAACATGCATGGTCGTGTAACAATCGCAGCCAGGAAAAATACAATCAGGCCAATTTCTGCGCTGCCCGTGATGATTTCAGCAGTCAGGATCATGGTTAGACGGAGTTAGACATGTGGTGTTCGAGCACGTGTACTCAGGACTTGGTGATGCATTGCGTAGACTACGGCTTGCCGCATGGGTCCCAATATTGGAAAGAAGGCGCGGCTTCCGCACAGGTCAACCGCATAATATAGGGCAAGATAACATGCCCACTGTGTCTTTTCGTGGAGACTGTCTGAGATAATTTGAGGGCAGGGAGGAAAAGCTCAGGTTTGGATCTCCAAAGACCCCAAGTCACGAAAGCTGCCCTTGCGGGCATTGTCGTTTACCAATTCAGTTTAGTGGTAGGGCACCAGGTGAAAACCGGCATGCGGGACTTTATCTGGTCATTTACCCCCTGCACCAGCCCAGGCCGTACGTCCCTGAACCCCCTAAATCCTCAAACCTACGTCCGTAAATGTCTCTAAACCCTACGTCCCTACAAGCCCTATGTCCCTCAATTCGACGTCCCTAACCCTACGTCATGCACGTGCTGTCCGGATATGTCTGTTCGACTTGGCACGCTGTGCCGCGTTGTCACTCGATGAATCCTGTCTGTGCTCGCTTGAGCTCCTCTTCTCAAGTCTCTTCGAAGTGTCGGTCTAAAGAGGCCGTTAACGACCCAGACCACTCTTGTGAACCCTTACGCGAACCCTGTCAAGCCGCAACCCCTACGGCCAGGACTCGACCAGCCCGACTGGGAGGGGATCCACAACAGCGAAGGCCTTCAGAAAGAGCAGCTCTCAGAACCAAGGGGTCGGCTGGCGTTCCTGGGGGGTTGAAGGGTTCCGAAGGGTCGAGGTTTCGGTTAGTGGTTCCAGATCTGGGGATAATCATTGTGAATCACATTTGATTTGCTCATATTTAGGTCATGATCGTGACTTGTACATTTTGTTTTCCGCTGCCGTTAGGGCCCTTGAGTCAGCAGCGTAGCTTCGCAGGTTTGCGGTGCAAAGTCCGACCAATCTCAAATCCGTGACCTGTCGCAGCTTTCTACTGATGATTTCTGCCACTGCTGCTAGCATTACTATTCTGTACTGTTGTAGTACTGTATTCTGTATTGTATTGCTATAACCATAACTACAACCATTACAATAATTACTATTGCTACTACTGCTATTGGTTTGATGTCTTGATTCCGTTTCTTTCATGTAGGAAAAATCTTACTACTATTACTAGTATTGCTACTACTGCTACTACTACTACTACTACTACTACTACTACTACTACTACTACTACTACTACTACTACTGTGTGTACTACTACGAAGACGACAAACACGACCGACGAGCCTCAGGTGCAGCGAAGAATGAAGAGGCATGCGAGACAGACAGCCTGGGGCTTTGCATCACAGCTTGTAGTTCCAGGAGTATTGTATTGTGCAATCTGCATTCGGACTGTGGGCCTCGTAATGCCTGACCCAAGCTTGCCGAGCTTGCAGCACATTCTCCAAGGCAAAACACCTGCACGAGACGTTTATGATCATGGGTCTCAGTATTGCAGTTGTACATGCCACCTGCGTTTGCTGTTGAGCAAGCGCGTCTTGCGCACTTTGCCACTCGTGGTGTTGAGAGGGCCAGAACTTCAACTCCGACCGACTGGTGGCAGGCCTCACACAGGCCCTCGCTCGATGTAGTGATAATTCCTGAACAGTTCTGATTTGACGGCCGATTGCTGGCTTGTGTTTTTTGTTAATGGCGGCCAGGTTCACACGAAATTGAATGAATTTCAGCAGGAATCTCAGAACTCAAACAGGTGTCAGGTTTGCTGCTGTTGTGCTGAGCCCTGGAAACTGCTGCAGAAGGGATGATCACCGTGGTCATGGCAGCTGGATTTGTGCTGGAACTGAAAGCCGCAAAACCCCGAAGTGCGCACCAAAGTGCTTAATCAGCTTTCGTTTATTGAAGGTTTGCCAGCCAACATCTCCTTTGAGGTTTCAGGCTTTGGCGGTATCTCGCGGGCACAATTGAGATAATTGAGCCGAATCATGCACGCACAAAAAACGCCGTAGCAGCCTTTCTTGACCGTTCATTTCTTAGCTCAAAGTCTATGGCAGCACCCCGTATTAATCGTTCATTTCTTAGCGCAAGGCAGTCCATGACAGTTGAGATGCCAGCACAGGTCTTGTCTTGGTCACCAAGCTCTTCACAAACCTCAAAACCCTGAGCCTAGATTATGTGGCATGTTACGACGTGCTATGATCAAGGTTCCGAGACATCGATGGACAGATCACCTTCTTACGGCATGAGTCGCGCTCCGAGCGAATGGTTTGACATGATGAGGGTATGTGCTGCTCCGAGATCCCACAGCCTCGCAACTTCCGAATCCTGATTGAGATTTATGGCTGTTTAGCACGCGGCTTCAAACTATCCAATTCCTGTTTCGTTCGGAAGTGCGGCGGCAAAATTGCTGGTGTGCTGATGGACGTGGTTTGCTGCTAAACCGACATGCGATGCGTGTTGTCCGCCTGTGGCCTCAAAGTTACTTCAATCCTCTTTGCTGCATCTAGTTGATATTCCTTTGACGGCAACAGCGCCCGAATCTCGGGTCTTGTGTGCTAAATCTGCTAAATGCAAGTAATGCAAGCCATGGTGGGGTTTCACGATTGATGGAAGAAGCTGTTGTTCAGTGGCATCAGGGTTTTCCTAAGAGTCTAGGGCTGGCTTGGAGATGTATTTGCCAGGCTAGCCCTGAACCATGGAGCCTTAAACGAATCTTGGGCAGAACGAGAAGTTCGTGCACATCGAGGAATACCAAGCCACCTTGTAGTATGTGAAGCCTTCAGGGGTAGCTACCGCTTGTTGTGCTTCGCGGAGTTTTAGAGCTATCTTGCATACTGGTTTGTTGTTGGACTGCATTCAAGTTGAACTTCTTCGCGTGTCTTGTCGAATTCAGACAACTACACTACACACCGCGCAACACACACACACATGTATCGTTTGTAGATATCCGTAGTATATAGAGACCACGCAGATCAGAATGTTCGAACAGCTCCTGAACCCTCTACGCTCACTGCAAGCTTTGCGCCCCATATGCTGGCTATCCCAAGCCCAGTACCCAAAGCCCTGAACCCTAATCCCCAGAACCTTAGATCCAACCCCGTTTAGGGTTGAAAGGTCACGGCTAAACCCTAACCCATGTTCTTCCAAAGGCTGGAAAGTCAAATCAAAGCGAAGGAGCTAGAGATGACCCATGCCTGGTTCCCAGGGGGCTGGACTCCTCTTTTTCCTACTGCCCTTTGGGCAGCCGCATTGCTCCAGAAACGCGCGCTGCATGAGATAGTCTAGCAGCGCTTGTGATTTAGCGCTTATTGATATGAGTACCGGAGTATGGTTTGTACAGAAAAGTACAAAAATTGCATGGCAGATTGCCCAACAAGCAGGGACAGTCAACTGTGAGACAAGCTGCTTGTCGACGTGCTCAACCTTGAGCACCTCATGAGTCGGACGAACTGCTGCCAAAGAAACCCCAGGCGTGACATCAGACGTCCTGTGTTAGAGAACCTTCGAGAAACTGACGCTCGCCATTGTGCACAGAATGGTTACAGAGGGCGCGAAGCGCTGTGGGTTCAATTCCAGGCTCCCCAACTGTTTATGGGGAGTCCTTACCGCGCAGTTTTGCCAGGATTGTTAGGTTCTAAAAAACAGCACTCCTCCGCAAAGGGGTAAAACTAATTGAAGCAGAGGACAGCTCAGCAGAAGCTTAAGCTACGATCCAGATTAAGATAGCAGAAAACCGCTAAGTTGAAGCAAGGTCTCAGTTTTTCGAAGTGCGCAAGTTGACTCATTGGTGTGCTCAGGCATGCCGCCTGAGTTGGAAGTTGATGTTGCAGGATTCGCGTTTAGGGGTTCTCTCATAACGCAGACTCAGACAGCACTGCCATGACTGAATTGTCTGGGGGGTTCCCCATTGTACCGGTCACTCATGCCACGAACATGTGCGCAGACCACTAATGGTACCCGTGAGTCAACTCCGGCCAGACACTCCATCCAGAGCTCATCCAAGATTCTAAGATTGAAGGACTGCTCGGAAAAACAGTGTGGGGATCAAAGCAGAAGCACAGCACTTCGTCACTTAAAACGCTCCTGCATCTCCTAACCGGTGCCACTATGAGTGGCAATGACCACAGGACCGGGAGTATCAAAGGGAAGGGAACCACTCCTCGGAACGGTAACCAGGAAGCTTTGCTGTAGCATAGCGTTAGTAGCAGGGTATAGGCTGATCCTTTGCTTTCACAGTGTGACACATGTCCGACCAAAAGCTGCGCGCGGAGGGAATGGCGCAGTGGGACATATTTCTTGAAGCAACCTGTTCAACACCTTGAGCGGCCAGGGGAATCTAGCCACTCCCAGCCGCCCGGTGCCCGCACACTTTAATCGCTGCCACCAAGAGTTGCACGACTTTCGCTGCTTCGGCTTCAGGCAGGGACTTGTGACTACTTTCACGCCTGGTTTGAGAAGCTTGTTGCAGAAACACATCGTTGTCTCTAAGTCTCTCCGGAACCACAGTCGAAGGAAGGGCTGTATCTTAGCCGTGGACCCCGTGAGCCGGGATCAGTTCAAGGAAGCACGGGCGCAGCCCGTGGCATCCCGCAGCGATTCGGAACATACCCAGAATTGCGAATCGGGGTAAACAGGGGTAGAGGTGGTGGACTGGCCTTCCTTCCGTCAGCTCTCCGAGTGCGGTGGTGTGCAGCAGTCCACCATCAGTTCCTTACCAATGTTCATTACCAGACGCTATATAGCCTAGCTTCAGCATACTGGACACCTGACCTGAGTTTCTCGAAAATCCAATCCTAAACCGCCAGCCCGGCAGCTCCGAAGCCACAGAGAAACTAAAGGCAACAGCGCCACCTTGTTGCACCAACTGATCAAAAGTGTTGGACGCGAAGCGTGTGCATTTAAGACCCTCCCTGCCCATTCAGCATTCCAGCGCGCAAGCTGCATCTTACTCAAGGTCACCGCACTACATTCGATATACTTCACATCAAATGATGTATGCTCGTTGACTTCATGGATATGCCATTCCAGCATGCGCGTATGTCTACATACGCACAGACTTACACATGTATCTACTATCATAGCTCAATATGACAGGTGTACACAGGTAGGTATATGTTCGTGTGCATAAATATGTATATATATATATATATATATATATATATGCTAACCCCCTCGAATGACCCACAGAAGCTTCTCTCGGGACTCGAAGACTTGCTTGTTTGGCAACCTCATATGAAGCCGCGAACGGACAAGTAGTAAAATAATATGTTCTGTGTCTATTCAAACATGCTTTCTCTGTTTTGTCGTGATAATTTGCATATTTTTGGTTTTACCTTAGGAACATATGCGGATACAGTCGTATTCACCAGCCTGTAGTACAACAGCAGCAACACTAGCAATTACAGTGACAGAACCGCAAGATAGGACAAATCCTTCGGTTACGTGCATGCACGTGGTCTTCTTTCTGTTGTGGTAGCAAATGCTTCCAAGCTGCCAGAACTAGTGCATGCTGTTAGTCGTCTGCAAACATGGAATCCACAAAGCAGATTTGCATGTAAAGCCACGACGTAAGCATGTAGCCTATTTTTGTTTTAAACCTAAAGCAAATGAACAAAAAGGCCTTTTTTTGTATCTATGTATCAGCCTGTTTGTTTTTGACAAACATTGAGCATGCTTGCACCTGCGAAATTTTGATAACGTACATATGGTTACGCCCCGGCGGGCTCTCCCCCTCCCCCACAATGGTATTGGTCATCCTCCTCACCCCCCTGTGGAACGGCTTGGGCCTTGAGCTTGCGAGTGGAATGGAAGGGCTGGGGTCTGAGTTTAATCCTCGCTCCCCCCCAAATCTTCCCCCTCCCCTCCTGTCTCTGTGGAACAGCGGCCCTGCGCACAGGCGCCGAAGGCTCCAGGCCCGTGCCGTTGGGCGTGGGGAGGCATTGGGAGTGCAGAACGCACAGCGCGCAATAACATGTTTTACTTATTCATTCTAAGCCGAAACTAGCGGATCTGTCGGCGTATGCACACATGAGAAACTCATACTGTATATGTAGAATCAGCGCTGTCATGAGAGCATGCATAAGATGTAATATTGCATGTCGCCATATAATAGGTTGACGTGTTTTTCTTGATTCTATGATGTTTTGTGAACTTGTTCAATCAATGTCCATGTATATCTTTACATTCCTGTGTATCTGTCTTTGGGAATATCGCCAATGTTGCACAGATGTACCTTTGTCAAAGCAGTTGTAAACACCATTAAGATACATATGGACGTATCTATGCCCTATTGGATGCATACATGACTAAAGCAAGACTTACACACATGTGTCCACATGTACCTTGATTGTACTTGTAAGTGCTTCCATATATGTGCATGTGTGCAATATTGCCGATATTTCCCAAGAAGCAGTTGAAAATATACGTGCAGAGATACATGCAGCAGACGTTGAATGTAGTGACATGCAATACTACATATCGACAGCCCTTGTTCTGTCATGATGAGTTGTTGTTGTGTGTATGCACCGACGGATTCCACGAGTGTTGTCCGTATAGAGAGTGTGTATTACAAAAACATTTTGTACACATGGTATCAAAATTTGTGCATTTGCTATACATACAAGCGTTGGTCGTAAATACGCAAAACATCTATGACTAAATGGGTGCATACATAAGCAAGCCAGACTCGCATACATGCTGCATCATACTCATTATGAACTCATATATATGATGGATACAATGCCATACACTCTTACAGATACGTAGCTCTGTTCCAAGATGGAGATTGCAGTGAATTGTACATTCAATATGGAGCGCAATTTTTTCGTGGGTCACATCAGACAAGAAGACCGAGTGCTATCCAGATTCACTGTGCGACAGCAATGCCACCCGACAAACCAGCACAACCGCAGAGCCGCAGGTACCCAACCAAAACCAAAAAGACAAGCACAAGCGAGCCATAAAAAACAAGGCGCAAAATCACCAACAACAAACAGAGAAACAGCATCCAGCCCCGTGTTCGGATGGGCTCCAATTTTTAGTTGTTCTAAGGTTTTTGATATGTATGTATATATATATATATGTGTGTGTGTTTGTGCTTTTGGTTCTTTATTTTGTGTTTTTGGTTTCGTGTTTTGGTTTGTTCAGGTTTTAGAGAATTTCAGACACTGTATTTGCTTGATTATTACATGCTTCGGCATTGCGTTTCCTCATGAGTTTCTTACGTAATTACTTCTCTTAATATAGTGCGATATAGCCTGGTAGTCCTCTGCCCCCCACATATATAAATATCTCTGAAGATACATATAACTAGTAATTAGCATATACAGATCAATACAATAGATAGTATTGAAATAAAGGTACGTGTGGGTCAATAGGGAGTTACTACATACATACGTACGATATACACTTATATTATGTATATATATATATAGGTGTATACATATATATGTATATACATATATGTAGATGTGTACACATGTATTTGGAGATGTACCTTTCTGAAATGCCGAGACTGTTTCGACTCCGAGGCTGAAGCGCGCGTGAAGCAGCTGCATTTCCCACCCGAGTGCCGGCCTCAGTCAGGCTGATGCTTCGCCCAGCTCTCACAGTCCCGCAGTGTGGTCTAGTTTGGGTTAAGGTTAGGTTCGCCTGGAGAGACGAGTCCCCCTAGCTGCCCCAGCTTCGCTTAGCAGGATAGTTTGATCTTGTCTAGTGTGTTCTCCTATTATCGGCTAGGTAGGTCTGGAATAGGAGGGTCACACTACAGCATGAGATCAGCATGCTCTTTTGACTTTTGATCACCACGTTGATCCGTAGCCATTTTGGGTCGAGACGATCGTCTCGATCCGCGAAGGATCTTTTTGTGTTCGATCAGGTGAGGTCTAGGGCCTGGGTAGCTTTCGCTCGAGCTATGGCTGGTTGGGGTCAGGACGCCTGGGGTCAGCAGCAGGCTGATCAGCCGCAGTATGCTGGTTACCCTAATCAACCGAGGGCCAGTGGGCTGGTCAGACCCAGCAAGATCGCAGGGAGAGGCGCCACCGCCGTGATCGTGGTGGTGATCGTTTCCCGAATGCTGCTCACAACCCTTATGAGGTTCGTCTGCCCCAGCACATTGAGTCGATCGCTACCTGTGACGACGACGATCGCAAGACCTCGATCATCATGGTCGACACCAGAGATGAGAGGATCGTCTCGCCTTTTCAGGCATGGCTGGTTCGGGAGATCATGACGAACGCCTCCTCCTCGACGAACGTCTTGACGGAGAGAGATCAAGTCATGACTCCCAGTTCTGGGTACCACATGTCGCTCTTTGCCAACTACACTCTGGATGGCATAAAAGCGACACTGGCGATCTCAGTGGACTCCACGACAGGAGTTCCCTGTGGAGACTGGTCTGCTCAGACCGCCAAGGCGCTCGCCCACGAGGCTTTTCAGCCCTTCTCGTGGCCGGTGCTCAGGGACACGTCGCCATCGTACACCGATATCAAGGTGTACAATGGCAATGAGATCCTCTTTCACTGGATCCTGAGGGGATACCGTGCCGACTCGGATCTGTCGGTTCAGCAGCAGTTCGCTGACGAGCTGCTGATCCGCGACGTCTGCCGTGGTCGGGTGCGGCTCTCGGTCGTGGTGGCTGCTTTCACCGGCTGGAAGTGCTCCGTCTTCTCTTTCGAGTGTGGCGGTCGCACCTACTCTGTGGGCCCTCAGGGCGTGGTCGTGGCTGGAGATCATGCCCGCTCGAGGTTCGAGCTCCGAGTGTGCAGCCGCTCTTCGGAAGATGCGGTCGGAAATGACGCCGATCGGCTGGAGTTCCGCTACCGGGATGCCAACAATCGCATGGACTTGAAGTGCGCTCGCACTTCGGTCCCGGCTACGTGGTTGACGGTCTCCCACATCAGCGAGGGGCCTGAGCAGACTGAGCAGTTCGCTCAGCTGGCGGCCGCTCACCAAAACTGGTGGCATAATGCTCTCACCACGGACTATGCCAATATCGGCGTGCTGGTCTCGTTCGTGGGCGGCCTTGATCATGGCAACTTCCACGTTCAGTGCAAGAGCAAGCTCTACCTGATGCAGGGGGCTGTGGTCTCAAGGGCGGCGCTCGCCGAGATGACCCACACCCAGGAGTCGGCTTCTCCGCTGCCGTTCGGCCCGCCCGCTCTTTCTCAAGGGGCTTGGCGGCAGGCGGCGGTCAGTTCTGACACGGCCGTGCCGGAGACTTCTCAGATTGCCGTTCGCAATCGCAATCGGGCGGAGATGGAGTCCCGGGCGCTCGCCCCCGAAGATCGACCACCTGCTCAGCCGGTGGACTACGATCAGAACGAGGAGGAGGGCACCCGTGGGCACATGATCGATGCTGCCAGGGACGATGCTCGGCAAGATCGTTCCTTTGCTCGCTCGACGGCAAAGCTCACACCGGCGCAGTTCGCTGAGCTGGCCGACTCGTATCACAACCCTGTTGGTCACGCTACCTCTTCGGCAGCTCAGTCTTCCACGGTCGTGGTCGAAGAGGCCGAGCCGGAGAACTTGCTGGCTCCAGCAGGAGAGCCGACCTCGTTCAGGCCGCACCGCACGCCATGATCGAGGCCGATCTCAGAGGTGCTCACCCGTTTTGATCCAAGGGTGTTCACCCCAGGATGCCGTGAAGGCGATTTAAGTTCTCGCTCGCATTTTGGAGCCACGACTGCTCCCGCTCGGGCAAAAGATTTCAGAGATGTAGCCAGATGCCAGTCAGCAGTTCTGCACATGTTTTCACTGTTGATGTCTCTCTCTCTCTCTCTCTCTCTCTCTCTCTCTCTCTCTCTCTCTCTCTCTCTCTCTCTCTCTCCTTCCTTTTTCAGTGCAACATGTTCACAGTGCACGGCAGTCATGTCGTTCGTCGTTCGTCGTGCCGTTCGGTTGGCCGGGAAGGTTGGTCGGGGCACCGCAACGACGATGCTCATGATGCCGTTCTTGATTTTCTTCGTTCGCTAGTTTTGGCTCGGCAGGATGTTGCGGGAAGCAGCGCCAGCCGATCGCTGGACAGCGAAGATCCTTGCTTACCCATGTTTCGACCATGGGTTCCAGGCGATCGTGGCGACCCGGCTAGCGGAGATCCCTTTTGTCCTTTCGATGGACGCCGGGACGCCTGAGCAGTTCGCCGCAGTGTCTCTCAACTGGACGGCCAGCTCGGCCAAGTCGGAGCACGACCTCCTGGCTCTGAGGACCCAAATGCTCGAACAGTACTGGGTCTTCGTTAAGGCGGCGGAATCGCTCTTTGTCGAGTCTCTCGGCTACCAGATGGGCTTTGCTCGCTCTAAGGTGCCTAGAGAACGTTCTGCAAAGTCGATCGCACACTTTCAGCGGGAGATGGCCATCAGAGCTCTAGCTGCACCAGTTCTGGCTCCTTCGGCTAAATCGAGGCTGCCGGCAAGCTCTTCTTCTCCCTCGGCAACTCCACTGCTCGACTTGGAGAACGCCGAGAAACAGAAATGGGCTAAGCGCTTGAAGGCGATCGCCGATCGGGCCAGCGAACACGCTCGGCCCGAAGGGGTCCACGATGCTGAGGGGATCCTTTCGTAAGAGGAACGCGCTCGCCTTCGGCTGTTGGTTTTCACCTCGGGGGCGCCTTCTACCATGGCAAACCACATTCGTAGGTTCGAGAAGTTCGAATTGTGGGCTCGGCACGTGCCGCTCCCCCTCTACCCCATCTCGGACGACAAGATCCTGAAGTACGCCATGGAGCTCGACTCGAGGGAGTGCGGCCCGACTGTTCTTCCTTTGCTCCGCATGGCTCTGAAATGGGTGGCCTTTCGGATCAACCTCAAGCTTCCTTCGATCGAGACAGCGGAGCTAAAGGCGCTTGAGAAGGAGATCTTCACACAGCGAGGGCGACCGCTGAAGGAAGCGATCGCTTTCCCGCTTGAGCTGGTCCAGGCTATGGAGCGCTTTGTCGCAAACGAAGCTCACCCTGTACCGGCTCGGGTGTTCCTCTGGTGGGTCCTCTGCATGATCTTTGCGTCGCTCCGCTTTGACGACGCGATCCACGTGAAGCCTCACGAGCTAGAGGTCAAGCCTGACGGTCTGTTCGGGATCTCCTGGCAGACCAAGACTGAGAGGAAGCGGCGCGGCACCAAGTTCATGGTTCCAGACGTTGCTTTTTCTAAAGTGGCTTGGTTCAAGATCGGGAAGGACTTGTTCGAGTCGCAATTCCCGCTCGTGGAACGCGACGAGCTCGACACGAAGGAGCGCTGGCGCCAGACTCCCCCTGATTACGCTCGCTCTCTCCAGTGGCTCCACCACCTGGTCTGGCTCGCGGGGCAGGAGAGTGGAGTCGCAAGGGAATTCCTGGACAAAGTCACCGATCTTACGTGGCATTCAGCTCGAGTAACTATGCTTGATCTGGCTGTCCATTGTGAACGATCGGAGCAAGAGATCGGGGTTCAGGCGAACTGGAAGAACCCCGGCCCGCTCGTTCTGAAATACACGCGCTCGAGGTCCTCTCTTCCAGCGAAAATGATCAAGGAGTTGGTACAGGAGGTCTCGCGCGAGTTCGTGCCCCTCTGTGCTCAAGAGGATGACACGATCGAGGACGCAGAGGACAGGGATCTTTCATTGACTGAGTTCTTTGTCAAGGTCCCAGTCAAAGGCTCTAGTTATGACTATCGTTTTCATGTGTGTTCTGCAGACTCTGTGGAAGAGATCGCATGCAAACGCGCGATCACGCCCGAATTTACACACATCGGGTCCGTTCTGCCTGACCCTAAGCTCTTTTGCAAACTGTGCGCTAAGGCTCGGCCAGACGTGGCTCTCGCCTTTAAGGTCCAAAATCCTGAGCAGTGCTGTGCCTGCTCACGCCTTTTTCGCATTTGGAGAACTCTGTTGAAGCTTGCTCAAGCATTGATTGAGGCTCTCTTGTGTTGATCTGCCATGGTCGACCGCACGGTCTACCCGGACAAGGACAAGACCCCCGAGCTCGCCTTGCGCCAGATCTTCGGACGGCAGAAGCTCCCCGAAAACTTATGCCTTCTCATGGCGGATAAAGGCATGCTCTCCGTCGAGCGCATGTCCATGCTCGGGGACTCCATCGCGTCGGTGAAGGCAACGCTCCGTGCTATCGTTGGAGACGACACCCAGTTCGGGGCTGATGGTCCGGCACAGGAGCTCTCGCTCACGCTCCTGACCGCGGTCTGGAAGTCAGCCTCAGTTCTGCAAGAACACGTTGCCTCTCGACGGGCCGAGATGGAGGAGGATCCATCCAAAATACCAGAGATTCCTGGAGAAGATCATGCTGAGTTTCGTGAGCTCTTTGTCACTCAGCACCCCGACATCATCCTCACCTATATGCGCGAGCCGCACCGGAAGTTCGTCGAGAGGATCCACCGGGACTATATGGTCCATGGGGCGGTCGCGTTCTACGAGGTCGCTGAAATGCGCTCCCGCTCGGACCGCATGGTGCAAACACCTGGTTTCTCAAAGACTTCAGAGGATCTCCTGAAGGTGGTCCAGCTCGACAACAAGGTGTCGGTCGCCTCAGAGACAGAGGTCATGGGTCGCCTCCACTCGTTCTTTGTGGCGCTCGAGTACCTCAACATCTGCGAGTTCACCTTTGACTCCGGTCCCCTCAAGTACCTCTCGGAACTTGAGGAGTGGCGCCATGAGAATCGTGGTCTCGCAGTTCTTCTTGCGGCTGATTCCTTGATCAGGAAGAAAGTCTACAAGCTCAACAACGACAAGCGCAAGGACTTCCCTACGTTCTCTGAGGCTCTCTGCGAGGTCCTCAAGAACTACAAGCAGCTCTGGAACGACGCTCGATCCACAGCTGAACTTGAAAAATTCCGCCAGGTCGAGCACGAGTTCGCTACTCCTCCGAAGCGGCCTCGCTCGAGGTCCCCTCCGCCGACACCTCCGAAGAACGAGGCCAAGACTCGCAAGAATCGCGCTCGCCGGCAGAAGGTAAAGGAGTTGCTCAAGCAAGCTCGCGCAGAGCGCGATCGCGCTCGTGACCAAGCCAAGCCGAACAAGCCTTCAGTGCCTAAGCTCACAGAGAAGGACAAGGTCGATCGCGACACCCGGGTTCCGGAGAAGGAGTGGAAAAAGATCATGTCCTTCTCTTACACTGGTGCTCGCCGCTGCCCATGGTTCAACTGCTCGCTCGGCTGTCGGTTCGGTGATCAATGCAAGAACAAGCATATCTGCGTGCAGTGCGGGGGTGATCATCCCTACCATGGCAATCACTGAGCTCCCATGCCACCGCCGGGGGAGTTTGGTCGTCTCCCTCCGGCACCGGTGCTCGACAGACCACCGGAGGATTTCTCTCCCCCCCCGCCGCAGCAGCCGCCGGCTCTGGCTGCTAATGAGGTTTCTTCTCAGAGACTGACAGCTGCCCCTGCAGGTCGGCCGCCGCCGTGGGATCTTTGGGCGGAGGTGCCCCGGGATCCTGACACAATTCGTGAGCTCGGTCCGTGGTGCCTCGAGATCTTTGCCGGGTCTGCTGGTCTCACCACTGCCTGGAAACGTCACGGTCTTAAGACTTTGCCGCCGATCGACAAGTGCACCTCCGAGCTCATTTTGGAGTCGATCGACTTGCTGGACGCACAGGTCTTTGATTGGCTGCTCTTGCTCTGCCGCATGGGGGCGATCGTCTTTCTGCACTTGGGCGTTCCCTGCGCCACGTTCAGTGTGGCTAGGGATCGGCCTGGAGGACCTCCCGCCCTGCGATCGCAGGCGCTGCCACTCGGCCTCCACGTTCTCAAGAAGCACCACCAGGCACAGCTCTTCGAAGCCAATGAGCTCTTGTGTCGATCTCTTCTTCTTTTCGATGCTGTGGTTCAAGCTGGTGGGGATGCTTCGATCGAGAACCCGAAAGGATAGTCTGATCTGGCAGGTCCCTCAGGTTCAGCAGCTCAAAGTTCGTCTTCACCTCTACAACGTCGATCTTGATCAGTGCGAGTACGGATCGCCTCACCGGAAGCCTACTCGGCTTCTGGTCAGTCATGCTGCTCTTCTTGCTCTGGCACGCACTTGCTCATGTGGACATGTTCATGAGCCTCTTCGTGGCGTGACAAGGTCGGAGACTGGCAAGAAGATCTTCAAAACTAAGGCGGATCAGGTCTATATACCCCCCGGCGCTTTGCACCGCGTGGGCGATCGCCGTGGCCGCGATCGTGCAGAAGTCGGCCCAGCAGTTCGCCGCTTCCTTTGCTCTCACGGCTCCGTCGGCAGAACGCAAGCGATCTTTGGGATCCCAGATTGCTTGGAAAGGCCATCGCCAATCCGCCGCCGCTCGGCTGGCGGCGGCTAGCGGCTATCAGCTCAAACGTGGTGCCGCCAAGCCGCTGCTCGACGTTGAGTGTGAGCCAGGTCAAGCAATCCAATGGTCTCTTCAGGTTCGGCACCCCTTCACCGTGCAGCCGGCGCTCCCCGACAAGATCGTCGACAACATCAAGTTCATTGTCTCCTCCCCGCAGGCGCTCGTGGCTCGCCGTTCTGAGCGCCTTCAGTTCTGGCAGCAGCGTGCGCTCACGCTGCTTCCAGAGACCGATCGGATTTTGCGGTCGATCGCCTACGCTCCTCTTCGTCGGCTTCTTCGCGGTGCTCCGGATTATGCTGATCTGCAGCTGGGCTCTTGCACTCACGTGGCGCTCTACGACGAGCTCTTCGCCGCGATCGGCTGCACGGATCATCAAATTTTCCAAGGCATTCGCAATGGCTTCCCGATCGTTGGTGAAATCCAGCGATCGGGGCGCTGGCCGCCGTTCACAAAGCCACAGCGGTCAGTACCTGGGAGTTGCGAGCCAAGGTCTTTCGCAGATGCAGGTCGGTTCCTGTTTCTGACAATCTAAGGTCTCTTTGGAATGCCACGCTCGAGGACGTCAAGGAAGGCTCCACGCTGAGTCCGTTCGGATCCGAAGAGGAAGTCTCCAAGTTCTTGGACCGTTCCGACTGGATCCCGACACAACGCTTCGAAGTGGTTCAGAAAAACAAGGTCAGAGGCTGTGACAGTGCGACCTCCAACTTGATCAACCAGACCGCGGTGATCACCGAGAAGTTGGAGCTCACCTCTACGGACTTGAACGTGGCAGTTCTGCGCGAGCTCCGCACCAGAGGAGGCGATCGCCCGCTACGAGGATGGGTCCTCGACGAGCGGAAGGCCTATCGGCAGCTTCCGATCTTGCCGGAGCACAGAAAGTTCAGTGTGATCTGCCTGAAGGATCCGGGTGATGGCATTCCCAATTTCTTTGTGATGATCGGACACTCCTTCGGGCTCGTGGCGGCGGTCTACAATTATAATCGCCGCTCGGCCGTGATCAACGATATTCTCGTCCGGCTGTTCAGCATGGGCGCCTTCAACTTTTACGACGACAAGTACGGGTTCGAGACCGATCTCACGGCGCCTTCGGCTAAGGTCGTGGCCGAGTGCATCCACTTCTGGCTGGGCGCTCTCTTCGACGAGAAGAAGCTCCAGCTCTCGGCGGCGCCCGTGATCTTGGGCGTGACTTTTAACCTTGAGCTCTTAGTTCTGGAGATCAAGGAGCAGAGGAAGCAGGAGCTCCTGGACTCGATCGACGCGATCTTGGAGGCGGGCACCTTGGATCCTGGGACCGCAGGTAAGCTCAAGGGCAAGCTCATGTTCGGAGCGAGCCAGCTCTGGGGGAAGGTTGGACGTGCGTTCTTCCGGCCCCTCTCGGAGCGCCAGTACTCGAAGGACCGGTCTAGCGATCGTATGGAGCTCAACCTGGCTTTGGAACGATCGCTCCGTTACTGGCGGAACCTCATAGTTCACGGCCCTCCGCGTGAGATATCACTCCGCTCGGAGAAGAACGCCGACGTTGTGATCTTCGCAGACGGCTTCACTCCAGACTTTCGGAAGTCGGAAGAAGGAGCCGATCGGATCGGAGCCGTGATGTTCGATCGGAGGGCCGATGCTCCCAAGCAGTTCACTGAGGTGATCCCACTCGAAGTATCGGACCGATGGCTCGCGAGGAAGACCCAGATCGTCCCGATCGAGATGATCGCGCCGATTCTGGCGCTCGAGACTTTCCGGGATCACGTGAAGAATAAGGACGTTCTCCTTCTGATCGACTCGGAGGCGGTCGAGGCTGCTCTAGTGAAGGGATACTCTTCAAAGGAAGATCTCTGTGAGCTCGTTGAAGTTTTCTGGGAATTGGCTCTTGAATATAGGGTCAACTTCTTTATCGATCGAGTTTCTACAGATGCCAACCCCGCGGACTGGCCATCGAGGGATCGCCTCGAGATTGGCCAAGCTGCTGGGTGGTCGACAGTTTTGTGCTCATGGCCAGCGAAGCTCCGCTAAAAGATAGATGCAGGGCCTGGGAGGTTGCTCGTTTTTCGAACGAAGGGAATTTGTTCGAGATGCTCTCGCGTCTGGTGTCCCGGGAAGGGTTCGCCGGTTGCGGGTTCGAGCGACTGAGACGACGACGACTCCGTTCGTGGGTTGTCGTTGTCCTGGGGTGGGGGCCGGTCGTTTCTGATGCTCTTCGGTAGTTCTTCTTGTGACCGCTCAACCCCATGCTAGAGCGGATTAAACATTGCTCGTCCGCTCGGTGTGTGGCATGCTGTTCAGTGAGCTTGCGAGCGTTCGTGCGTGTAGTGTGGTTCTCCTATTATCGGCTAGGTAGGTCTGGAATAGGAGGGTCACACTACGGCATGAGATCAGCATGCTCTTTTGACTTTTGATCACCACGTTGATCCGTGGCCATTTTGGGTCGAGACGATCGTCTCGATCCGCGAAGGATCTTTTTGTCCCACCCAACCCGCCCTATTATGAGGTGGGAGGTTGCTCGTATTTCGAACGAAGGGAATTTGTTCGAGATGCTCTCGCGTCTGGTGTCCCGGGAAGGGTTCGCCGGTTGCGGGTTCGAGCGACTGAGACGACGACGACTCCGTTCGTGGGTTGTCGTTGTCCTGGGGTGGGGGCCGGTCGTTTCTGATGCTCTTCGGTAGTTCTTCTTGTGACCGCTCAACCCCATGCTAGAGCGGATTAAACATTGCTCGTCCGCTCGGTGTGTGGCATGCTGTTCAGTGGGCTTGCGAGCGTTCGTGCGTGTAGTGTAACTCCAGTCTTGTCTAATGGAGGAAGTTTGGGTCGGGCCGCAGTGGCCTTTGGCAACCCTGATCGAAAACTCTTGCAAAGAAATGCAGCTGCATTGCAACCCTAAGTTGACAAAGCATCATGTTGCTCGGGCAACCCTATGAAGCCAAAATGGAGGTGGCCGAGAAACCCAAAGACAGATCGACCAACCTTGCCCCGGCACAAATGCCCCGTCCTTCCATGTAGGCTTGAGTCGACTTTTCTTGCTCGTTTTGGCTACATGAAGTTGCAGTCACAGAATAGAAGCAGGCCTCCCCTCCGCTAGGTGGGATAGCATGATCGCTTCCTTCGCGACGGCATGCACTATGTACTTGGATTCGACCATCAGCGCGACGGAAGCCCTGCCATGTTTGAAGTGGAATTGTCATTCCGTTGATAATGCTCCATACTGTGGAGTTTGTTGTGCACAATGGCCGTGCATAATTGAAAGTCCAAACTCTAGACATAAATGCCAAGCTTGAGCACAGAATAACGATAAGCGAGCTCAAAGATTGCTGCCTGCACAATTTGAATGGAAATACACTGCAGGTATCTAGGCTCACAGCTATGTTCCCGAGTTGACATCAATTGCATTAAAGTTCTTAGCCCGAGACTTCAAGCCCTAAATCCCCTGAATCCGAAATCCGTTGCAGGATGGGGTCCCAGCCGAGTGGGAGCCTTAGTCGTCGCTCAGGGGTTTTGGATGGTGTAGAATTTAGGGTTTAGAATCATTAGAATCTGTGTGAGCAATGGTGGGTAAGCGGGCTTGGCAGGGTCGAGTCAGCCTGGGTTTTGGGCCAGGGAGCGAGAGATGCTGCGTGCCGGAGCGTGCACTAGATGAATTTTTGCTTGCGACAAAACAACCTTTGAAGCCCAAGCTCCTGAAAGCCCTCAGCAGCCGAGACCCCGAAAGAAGCAATGCTGAGGGCAGAAGCCACGGGTGGCTCTGCACTGGCCGCGCTTTGTGCATCGCTTGATGAAGTCAAGCCAGCAGGAGCCAGCTTTTGACGGCTGTCGGCTTTCGCAGCTTGTTGTGCCTCCCAGGTCTAGACGCTACCAGGCTGTATGGCAGTGTCATGATGACAGAAGCACCAGTGTCACCACACCCCGACCATCATCATCGTCATCATCATCACCGTCGCGTGCCTGTGTTGTTGCATGTCTGACTCCTGCCTGCAAAAATTCTCGCATATGCTCACTATGCAATAACACTTACGAGCTCATCCTTTTTCCGAGTTTCCCACCAGCTGATGAGAGGGATTTTGCAAGCTCGACAGAAAATTGTCATGATCGAAGGGGTGCCTATCCCAAGAGAGGAGACTTTGTTCTACAGTGTTCGGAAATTTTCGGTGCATTTCTAAAGTGTACCACAGTATGCTCTATCGCACAGGTATAGTATCTGAGTAAGCTTTTCGGAATTAATTTCCTTGCAGGACAGACTTCAGGGAACGACGCGCAAGACCAAGGGGCGAAGGCCGAGCTCGCTTGGCGGCTTGGCCGCAAGTCCTCAAAGGCTCTTGAAGGTTTGGGTCATGAAGGTTTATGAGTGTTTGCAACGCCTTTAGTCTTTCTTCAAGTGTCGCAGTCTTATTATCACTGCTGTTGTGCTCTCATTCTTTTCTTGTGGCGACTGCAACTGGGATGATCGCCATTGCCTCGGTGTTTCTCCCCTTATCGAAGACTCAGGAACCTTTTCCAGCTTTAAAATCCCGCAGCACCCAGCCCGGGCATAGACACCGGCAGTCTGCCCTAAGGTCTCAAAGCCTCAACTTTCAGACAGCCGACGAAGCCACGATGTGCCATACGCTAAACTACTCTATACTACTATATACGATTGTGTCGTTGAGCGGTTCTCCAACTATGCTACGCACACGGAGGTTTGATGAGAAGCTTGACGAAAAGGTGATACACCTGTTGACCAAGTACTGCGGCTTCGAGGCTCTTGGGCTCTTGGGCTCTTGGATTCCGTGACGGCGACAAGGTTTTGGGGTTGAGGGTTTGGGATTGTAAGGCCTGTGTTTTGGGCCTGTCAGAAGTAAGACGGGTTAGAATCTCTTAAGGGCCGACTCCTAAGCCTCCATCTAAACCTCCATACTACCGTCAACGGATCTCCCGAAAGTCTTCTGGACTACCTCAAGTGCAAGTTGTGCCCTTGCCTACAGTCGAAGCTGAAGCTTGGCTGCATCCGCAGCTGGCAGCGCCTTATCGACGAGCGACGGCCTGAAATGAGCAAGCACACCAGAACCTGATTTCAGTATGGGTTTGGTTTTTGTACATGATTTCGGGATGCTGGGTTTGGTGCATAGTGGGGTGTTGGGTCCATGGATTCCTGGCTGGGGGAATCTAAGGGGATCTTTTCAGGTTTCTTGAGGACTTCAGGGTCTTCGGCTCATGGTGGTCCTTTGATGAAAGCGCATAGCTTTTACTAAGGCGAGAGCATTCCACCAAAACGAAGACCATTTCGGTGGACAGCTGTTTGTGTCGCTGGCAGATCCCAAACATCCGGAACCCTTGAGCCCCCGACAACCCTAACAGCGCTGTCCATTAGTCCATTGACCCTCGGCCTGAAGAAGCAGAGACTGTTTTCTTAACCGCGGCCACTGCAAAGCCACAGATAAAGAAGACGAAGAAGCTCCCAGCTCGCAGCTCGCTACACTCCCCGAGGTTCACTGGAATGCTAGCCTTCGCGCCCATGCCTTGTGTGCACCAGGCCATTTGGGCTTTGGGAGCAGGTTGGACGTTTAGGGAGGACTGGGGACTCAGAATTGTGGGTCTTGGGGGAATTGGGACTGTAACGTTAGGTCTGTGTTGCTCTGTGCTTATCCTTAGAGCCACGATTCGAAGAAGGCCAAGGCTTAGGGTTCCGCCAGGCGAAGAAGAGCCACGTGCAGGGGCAGGTTGGCAGTGGAAGGCCCCGTGCCTAGCAAGAGGGTTCCTGGTGTGTCGTCATTGCCTGGAAGGGAACGGGGGCGAGGGGTGGGGTTTGTAGCCAAATCTGTGTGGTTTTGGGGTAGCCGTGCTCGTCCATGAAAGGCTTAAGCCAAGCTGTCGATTCTTTTTTGTTGTGAAGCACTGTTTTTTGTTGCATGTCGTAGCATTCATGCAAGCACTCTTCTTGCACGGAAATCCGGAGCACTTGCTCTTAGGCATGTGTGCAAGCACAGCAACCTCAAGGGTCTGTGGCTTTTGCAAAAGACTCAGGGCAGGCACGCTCAATTTCAACGAGGAGACCGTCAAGCTCGTCGTTGAACTTGGCGGGCGCGAGGGTCTTGTTCGTCCTCAGCTGAAGCAGTTGCAACGACGCTTGCAGCGGCTGGTGCAGCGCGACTATGCCAGCGCAGTCCACACTCTGGAAGCACACTGCCGTGCCGAGTTGAACGAGTTCCTCAGTGTCTTGGCGATTTATGCGTAAGCATTTTTGCATGATGGAAGCTGAACCCCAGTAAGTTCAGCCGTTTCGACTCAGACCAATCCCCAAGACCCCGAAATGTCCCGAAATCCTCAAAACGAAAGTCCAACTCATTCCTCATCAAGTCCATGTAGACTTTGCTAAGCCAACGGCCGAGGTTTGGTGAACTCGAACTCGGAGGACGCGAAACCCCCAGCCTACTTCAACCCACCACTCAAGCCTCGGGCCAAAGCCCTAACGTACCTTTTCTTCTTTTGGAGCTCAAGCCGAAGGACGAGCAGGCATCCGACGTTGGAGAGTTTGTGGATGCCGGTCCAATGGCCCGCCGGCAGGAGCGGTGTCTGGCTATGTCGGGACTGGGTCAGCGCTTTTTAGAGATTCTGAGAGTTGAAAGTTTGGGGTTTCTACGAACTCCTTTGAGCCTGAACCACGTAGTGGCTGAAGGGTAAGACTGTCGGCCCTATGTCGGCCTACTCCCAGCAGCCTGGCAACCGAAACGATAGATTGAGATCCGGTCAACAGCCACTGCCCAAGGAGCAGGGCCGGCCCTGGGACCTAAAGAGCCAACTTCTTTGGCCTTGGGCTTTGTAGGCTTTTTGTTGGCTCCTACGGCTCTCTACATAATATCTAGAACATTGCTTCAGTCTCTCTGGTAGCTTATGACCGTTTTGGTGATTTTCCTTGGATCCTTTGGTGGATTTCGTGGTGGGCTTGGGCTGAGGGTTTCTCCGGATAAGGTTCTTGGGTTCTCACTGTTGTTAGAGATGCGCCTGTAGTTCTTGCAGATTTTTCAATTAGCGGTATGAAGGCTTGGTGCCGAGGCTATCGTGGCTAGCAGTGGGTATGTCTTCGTTGTGTGGGATATGCGTGAGTAGCTTGGATTCTCAGACATGTTATTGCTGCGAGTGTTCAGGTGTTCAGGTGTACTGGGTTCTTGAGGTAGTTGGATTCTTCAGGCTTGATTGCGGCTTAGAGGATCTTGTGGAGTGAGGGTGTTGAATTCTTGCTCGCCAGGAGCCAACAACTACGAGCATGATCTTGTCATGCGTGAAGGAGGCTTTGCTCGAGCATGCCAAGTCAGAGATTCTTGCTCAGCACTTGAGATGATGGTTTCTGCTTCAGGCTTGTAGCTGATGAAGGTTCAACATTCTGTTCACCGTGTGCGCAGGAATTGGTTACAGTTACAAGCATTAGAACGCCAAGCCAGGATTTCATTGGAGCTGGAGGGTTCGGCGGAGAAGGACGACAGCGGAGCCCCTATCTGGGATGACGTGATCAAGAAACACCAGAAGCGGCTGAAATCTGGCATGATGGTTCGAGAGGGTGAGATGCTCGGCTGCAGCGCCAATCTTCCGTCTTGCTTGAGGCCAAGGGCATTACCCTTAGCCCCAAGACGGGTTAAGTACCGGGAGGTTCATTACAAGGGTTCTCATCCTATTTAACCGGGAACTACGGAAGCGATGCCGGACGCAAATGGAGACAGCCGAGGAAGCACAATTTTCCAGTGGCAACACTTGCAGACATCTCGGGAGCAGAAAATGGATGAGAGTTTCGGGAGAACCAGCCGATCTATCTCACAATATTGCACTCTTGCTTCTGCTATTAAGGCCAAACCCCACACCCTAAACCCAATACCACTCACCCCGAAAAGCCCGACCCTACAGCCTTGAACACTCTTCCAGACGCCTGGAACCCTCAAGCTTACAAGCCGCAAATGTCAAGGAACACACTGAAACCAGCGGCCTTGCACTGGATGCTGCCTTTCAAGTTCAACAATGGAGGGCTCGGGCCTCAGGGCATCGAGGCCTTGGAGGTTTGTGACGGGTTGAGCGTGTTAGGGTTTGGGTTTTGGGGGTCCTAGTTCGGCTCATGGCGGTTCTTCTGCACGCGTAGGTTTCAATGTGTAGTGGCGGGTCAGCGCCGGGTTCGGTCTTCTTCTTCCCAGGCAAATGAGCCTTCGCAAACTGCGCTTCGAGAACTCCGACAAGGATTCGGCCTGGGGCAGCTTGACCAGAGGTCTGATGTGTGTAGCTGGCATATTGGCTTTTTCTCGCAATCCGCGGCTCTGCTCACAGGCATCTGGCCGTTTGCGAGGTCAACTCCGACATTTCCCAATACCGTCGACCGTGCCCCGACCGTGCCCCGGATGACAGCACTGGGCGCGCTTAAGAGCCTGAGCATGTCAAAGTGTCGGTCTATCATCGTGGCATTATAACGATACACTGCGCTACTCCGCAGTATGCTCTAAGAAGGCTAGAATGCCGTAGTATGTCTATACCTCGAATAATTGCAGTACACCGTGCAAAAAATGGAGAGGTTACATTTGTATGAGGGGGCCTGCCCAAGAAGTCAGACGGCCGGAGGCTTTGGTGGTGAGGATTAAGCTTCGCATGGTTTTGGTACTCTCGGGTTCTTGACGGGATTCTCAGGGGTTTACGGTTAATGGCCAGAGGGGTACTGTACAAGGTAGCTGATTCCAACTCCGAACACAAGCAGCAGAAGTCCGGCAGTCGCTATGGCCGCCGTGGTAGCATGCGTGATCATGTGCGCTGTCCTCGTAGCAGTCCAGATGTTACAACAGCAGCAGCAGCAGCAGCAACGGCAACCATGTCGATAAGAAATGCCAGTGCAAAGTGAAAACCGTCGTAATACCAGTTTGCGAATGATACAGAGCAAGCTCTTGGCGGCAGGAAAAGTGGCGACGGCAGAACCGTAAAGCCATAGCTTCTAAATTCCACATTGTTGAACCAGTCGCCATGCGTCTTAGGCCATCAGGTTGGCTGGCACAAGGAGCTGCTTGAGGAGATAAAGGATTGCGAGAGATGTGAAAAGGAGAAGATTGCTGAGGCAGGCTTGAGATGTTTGTGGATGGGTGGCACAGAGGTTTATTTTGTAACTGCTGGTCTTCGCTTCATACACGGCCATGGGAAATTTAGTTCGAGTGTACAGCTAGACCAGGCCGGCTGACAGAAGCTTATGTGAGATGGGGTTGCGCCGTCAATGGCAGAGCGAGTGAGGCCCCAATCGTACCGTTTGTTGATCTGGGAGGTGTAGACTAGACACGAGAAACATTGAGGGCCTCGCACTGCGATATCCATGCGGCTAGGCTGTGCACTGCAGGCTGGCGGTACGCCCTACATCAACTGCAGCAATGCGGTGAACTTGCAAATCTTTCGTCTGTGCACGGAGGATGGTGCCGGTTTGAGGTTCTGGGTCGGTCGGACGGTTAGAGCACACAGCTAGCTGCCCATCTAATTCGGAGAAACTCGGCAATGCAAGCTGCAGTTGCCTGTTCGCGAGCATGTTCCACTTGCACGAGGCAGGCATGCAATTACAGTGGCGACAATCACTGCCAGGACTACGAAGTGCCGGTCAGCAGCCGACTTACTGCTGAAACCTCCCTGGGCTTCTTGTCAACCTGGCGCGAAACGGCTGGATTCAGGTCGCAATGGTGAGCCAAAGCTGTACGACTGTGAGGTATGCAGCTCAAACCATCGCATGCTTCATGTCCAGCATTTTTGTTGCCAGGTATGGGCAGGTGCTGTCAAAGCGATGCACTGTGGCAAATGCTTTGGATGCGAATTCGTGTACCTGAGGTACTGAAGCTGCTGAAGGCACTGCAATTTGAAATGGCATCTGCTTGGCATTCGATGTGGAAGGGAATGCTGCAGGAGACCCAAGTGCTCGAATTGGTGCTTGGTGGATTGTTTACCCTAACCACGCTGCAGAGGATGCCACTTGTTCGGGCAGCCCTTTAGGGGAGGAGGTGCTCAATGTTGACTCAATGCGAGTGGAGTTTCCTACACGTGCCATCGGTGAACCGTTCAGTGTTCAATAACAGTGTAAGACGAGGAGCTGACCGATCCCGAGAAGGTTACAGACTTTGTCAAAGCGGCCCACAAAGCCATGCGGGAGCCCAAGGTTTAGGGGACCCACTATGTCTTTTTTGGTGCTTACTGTATGGCCTTATGAATTCGGGATTAATAGCTTCGAGTTTGAGTTCTTGACTAACAATTGTTTCGGCGATGGTAATCGTCCCAGGATTAGTAGGGTGTTGGAATTGCGACCTTGAAGACAAGGCACGGCCGAAAACGGAGGTCTGGGGTCTTGCGGCTTGTGGCTTTCGGTGTGTTGGGTGCTGATGCTGTCAGCCATTGAGCGCACAAGGGTTAAAAGGTGAGGGAGGCCCGAGCCCTTTTTGTAAATGGCCCTGAGTGTCATTCCGGTCGCCTGCTTGTTTGCTGGTCTCCCTGCTACTCATTCAGGGAGAAGCCTGTGGCAAACTATGTTGGGGCTGCCGGCATGTTGCTTGGCTTTGCTCTATTCCGGAAGTGATTGGTGGCAACTGTTAGTATAATTAATTATGTTGCTGGGGTCTAACGCCGCGCAAGCAGTGTCGCATGTAGCAGGTAGCATGCACTTTGAGATTGGTGCTCTCAGTTCCTGGGTGAAACTGGCCATGATCGTTGGAAGGTGCTTGTTACCCACCAACAACAAGCAAGTTCAGTCAAGCCCTTCCGATGATGCCGCGTGGAAAGCCGTGGTGGAAGTTGCAACTCTGACGGCAATTACATGTCCTTGCACCCAAATCTCAAAGGCACCAGGATTCTGCAAAATCCGCCGCCCTTGCGTCATCTTGTTTTTGTGATGCTATGGGAAACGGGCCTTGTCTGAGAAGGGAAGGGCGCAGCTCCTTTGAAACAGGGACGGATTGCAGCAGTGGCAGGTGTGTCACGACCTTCGGGTCAGCTACGCGGAGGAGGGTACAAAGACAACGCAGGCTCGGGAGCTGTGACTGGGGCTGCGGTTTCCTGTGGTTCAACAGTCCAGAAGCAAGATCTGGAAGCAGATCCTAAATCTTGATTGAAGGAGCCGGTTATGCAGATGCTTCCTATGCAAGCCCGTGCACGAGCTCTGCCTGTACTTTTCAATAGTCTGCCTAACTTCGTGCTTTTCCCCCAACACGTAAACTCCATAGGGAAACGAACAAGGAGAGTGCCACAACCGTAAACACGAAAATTGCAAGATCAGGCCAGAACTACTGACGCTGACATTCGGGAGGGACAGAGAAAGCTTCGCAAATACTGATAAGCGACGCCTGAAACACAAAAGCGGTTGGCCAACAGCGCGCCGCATACTTACTACTTAGTACTTACTACTTCTACTTCTACTTTACTTCCGCTACTGCTACTGCCACTACCACTAATACTACTACTCTACTACTACTACCACCACCACCACCAACACCACCACGACTACTACTACTACTACTACTACTACTACTACTACTACTACTACTACTACTACTACCACTACCACTACCACTACCACTACCACTACCACTACCACTACTACTACTACTACTACTACTACTACTACTACTACTACTACTACGACTTCTACTAGTACGACTAGTTTTTCTACCTACTGACATTATTATGTTTTGCTAGCACTTGTTCCTGCGTATTACAACTGAGTACTGGTTGCTACTGTACGCATTGCAGTTTCTTACGACTTGTTGGTTCTGAGGTGCGATTGCTACTACTGGGTATAAAACTGCCGTTGACTTCTCTGTGCACAAAAATGTGTAGACCCGAAGCCAAAAGCTTTGCTGAAGGAGGAGATCTCTTCGCTCGGGGAGGAAGCGAAGTGGTGCAGCGCCCCAGTGCCACCCTGAAGCTACAGAAGCGACACTCAGAACCCCAAGCATTGAGCCGAGGTAATGCATTTTGCAAAGCTGATTGATTTTGGAAACGCAGCATTTGATCATCTCTTCAACCCCAAGGCCCGATTACGAGGGTTACATGAAGGTTCTGGACAGGGCGACGGAGACCAACAAGGTGGTCGAGAGCATGTGTCGTTGTATCCTATCATATGTGTGATAGCAGAAACATGTAATTATGTACATATATATATATGTACATATATATGTGCATATGTATACATGTAATTGAAAAAAACGATGTGTCCCCATGTAAAGTAGTATGTTGTCTGATCGTGTAAAAGGTCTCACTTACAATGCTGGGCTCAAAATGAAAACGAGCTCGGCAGTAGCGTGCTCTGTTTTTGGGTTGAGAGCTCCTTCGGATGTGTCCTTGAAGTTGAACCCTTTCTTTCGTTCCTTCCTCACCCACCTGTGTTCTTCAGTTGGCATCGGAATTAATGGCTATCCGCCGTAAGCTCTCTTCTTGTAAGTTCAGGGTCGGAAGTGGTTCTACAGCTCCGAGCAGCTCGAAAGTTCCGAAGGCCTTTTCATACATCGATTGAAGCGAACTCCACCTGCTCCTCCTCCACCTCAAATTCGTCCAGAGGTAACTGTGCTACAGCCCTTATCGCAAGTCAACGTTCGGCCCCGACGCCTACGATCGCGAAGTCGAAAAGTTTCCTGCTCCGTCGATCGCACTCTAATTCTTGTGTTGAGTCAGCGGAGACGATTCTGCGGAAAGCTTAATGTCAGTCGAAAGCTCTTCCACTTCGCCGCTTCTCATGAGATATCGAGGAGTGCGCCAAGGCTTGAGCCTCCGCATATTTCATTCAGCTGCCGAAGAGGGTTTTGTGAATCAAAGTCAGTTGCACCAAGGTGTATCCAAGACGCTTCATTCACACCGGATGCTGTAGCCGCTTGTGAAGCAGAAGGTTTCGGAGGCCTGGAAGAGGATCCAGAGCTTCCAGAGGTCGTCGTGCACGGCGCAGTAGAGAACGGAGCCTCTGAATCTTTCGATCCTTGATCTGACACTCAACCTTGGCCTGGGACTAGCAGAGCATTGTGACTTGACTGACAGTCCGACAGTTAAGCTGAGTTAAGCTCTTGAACGTGTTGGGCCAACAGCTATGAGACCCTTTGGCTTTGCGTCCTTGTCGTGGTGGACTTGAGGCAGGGACGGAACGAATGGCAACGCCGAGAATTGAAAAGTATTCACAAGAGGAAAGAAAGACATCGGGAGCACTTTATGGAAGGCTTCCGAATAAAATGCAATGCAAAGGCACAGACTTTTAGTTTTAGCATCCTCGTGCTTCAAATGTTGCAGTATGGCAACATTTGAAGGGTCTGAAGTTGTCAATGGTCCGCATGAAGAAAGAATGATGAAGGAAGTCAAGACTCCTGGACTAGTTCATGGGCTGCGGGCCGGTCAACCCGGAGCATATGAAGCCATCAAGAAGGAAAAGGACGCTTTTGTCAGCAGAGGAGCTTGGGTTGAAAATTAAATTGCTTCCAAACGAGATGTTCAGTCGTGGGACGCTAGAGTGACTAAAGGCAATCTGATGACTGTTCGGTCAGTCGAGGTTCAGAGCTCAGTCCGAGCAATGGAAGCTAGAAGCCAAGATGGTGTTCAGAAGAGACGACATTCGAGATCATTCAGGAATGTCAGCAGTGTTTGAGGAGTTGTTTGCTTCATCGCCCTTGCAGCTGGAAGGTTTGAATACTGCCGTCGCGTCGGGATTAACTGAATCCAGCTTGGTGACCGCAAGTGAGGCGATGCGTGCATACAGGCAAGCATTGCTCAACACAAAACATAAGACATATGTGCTGTTGCCTCCTGGGCTTGTTCCTGAAAACAAAAAGCACCTGCATCAGCCATGTGCTCCTTTGCGCAATGCACTATATGGCCACCCCGAATCCTCGCCCAGTGTGTGTTTATGTTGATGACCAAGCACGTTGAGCTCGAGCCCCTTCACGCCTGGTACCCGCGTACTTGGTGCAAGTCACCGGTTTGTGTTCTGTCAACACAAGAAGGTGCTTGCGCTTGAAAAAGCCGATTTCGCTGAGCGGTGCGTTCAGCTTTATGAGTCGGTTGCGAGCCGTGCTGTCAAGACACAACACAGACACCGCATCTCGACCTTAGCGCTTCACTCGCAGCTGACGGTTGAATCGCCCAGATGCTACCCTTGCTTCGCACCTTTGCTCTTGGAGCAAGAACGACGGCAGGTGTGTTGATCGTCTGGTGGGATGCGTCGCAGACTCCATCGATCATGTCAATTCGTGATGATCCGTCTGACTTGCATGTAGCCCCTGGCTGCGATTCAGCCTTCGCTGTTCGCGTTGGCACGTCCCGACCAACACTACATGTTAACCGTCGACGGCCCGCCCAGCGTTGCCTGGCTCTCTTGGAGCAGTCGTCGTCACAAAATTGTGTCGAGGAGCAGCGCTGAAGCAAAGTTCGTTTCACTGAGTGGAGCTCTGTTCAACGACGATCTGCCCATGTTTGAGGTATGGGAGTCAAAACGATTGGCAGATTGTGCGCAAGGTATTTTCGTCGAGGCTTCGTCGTCGTGCCAAAACACACAAGGTGAATCTGACTTCGACCTGCAAGTTGGTGAATTCTATTGAGAGTATCCTGCTGTTTTACATCAAGATTGATGACCAGAGGGGTGATCCACACAAAGTCGGCGCATGCTTTGGCCTTCATGCCCATTGCGACTCAGCTCCTTCCGGATGCCTCTTGCGTTTCAGGTTTTGGTTGCTACATCGATAGATGGCTGAGCCTCTATGCCCATGACTTTCCTGAGCGTCGCGCTAGTTGGATTATTGTTTTCAACACATGATCCTTCCGTGTTGGTTTCCATCGTCAGGCTGCCTCGTGCCCGATGGTGAAGACTCGTGGCAATCAACGGTTGTTCAAGGACGTTGCTTCGTCAGCTCACAATGAAAGGGAGGTTTATCACCTCCATCGTGCATGGAATGTTACCCCCCTACAAACCAGAAAGGGGGGAGTCGTGAAAACTTTGGCTCAAGATGAAAAGCATCTCAGCAGAGGCGTGCTGCGTCTTTCGGTTGCGGGCTCCTTCGGACGTGTTCCCTAACCTGATTTTTTCGATCTTTCCTCGCCCACCTGCTTTTTTCGATTGATGTCGGACTGACTTACACACACATGGTGCATCGACCCGTCTTGCAACAGTTCATGTGAGCAGTCTGCCAATCGGAGGAAAGCTCCAATGACTTCTTGGGAAGACGGAAGGAAAGTTTGGCTGGACAGGCGTTCTGGCCTCTGCGAAAACGGGGGGACTGTGTTGTTTGGCTTTGGAGGTTTCGGGGTTTACGGCTTAGTGTTGACTGTCAGGATGAGTCCAAGCTTCTTAGCCAGTGCACACGTGTAAGTCAAAAGCACCATCAATCACGGAAGTTGTCAAAGACATCCTTTTCGCAACGTGCTGCATCCTTTAGACCAGTTGAACTGAACGGAAAGAGAGCTTGTAACGACGATGCTGCTACCCTGCGCGGTATGTCGGGACAGAACCTAGTGCAGACGGTTACATCACAACACCTAATGCAGCAATGGGCACCAAACCCTCATCCATGGGCTGCGCCTGAGCCAACAGTGCTCAAGCCTAGAAAGCGCATCGGTTCAATTTCTACAGGGATGCCTGACTTAGAGACAGTCTTAGGTCCTGGAGCCGTCTTTGCCAAGAGTTGGTCTTCGTGATTCTCCAGCTCGATATGGACAGAGTGCCGACCCCATGCGCTGATGTGAAGGATTCACGGTATGCGGCTGATTGGGATGTCCCCCATGGCAGTTTCTTGGTGAACTACTTCACAACATCGCACAAAGTCCATGTGGGGCTGCTCTGAGAAGGGGTGCCACACACTCCTCTGTGTGCCGAACCTTGCCTCCAGTTTGTGAATGGTTGCGCGCCCCGAGGTGTCCGAGGAGGAGCTGAGTATGTCCAAGTCCTCCGCAGGTGTGATGTCGGCAGCCTGAGCCACAGCGACGTGAGCACAAGATGTGTTTGGATGAAGAGTGGGCAGTCGGAGGTGGGCCAAGGGGTTCTTCAGGCTGGCCAGCAGGAGATGATTGCCAAGCTGGCGCAGCACCGTGCCTGGCTGAGAGCTGGGAGCCGCTTCATCCATCTCGGGAGCAATTAAATGGTATAAACTTTTCTCTACTGCGTATGGTACATGCTGTATGTCGTCTAGTGTATTCTTTCGCATGGTATACTCTGTATACTATATACCATACCCTTCTACACCACACCCCAAAACCGAGCTAGCATCGTTCCGAGGGCTCCTATAGGGATCATGTGAACACCTTTTCCAATCATTGTGCTGGATCCTTGAAGGTCTGTTTCAGCTGAACGCGAAGAACAAGCAGGCTGGACCTAAGTTGATTCAACCATGGCTGGCACTGTAGGGCCTGCCAGGTTAAAGCATCTTGCTTTTGCTTGCGCAACCCCCCATTCCACGTCTGTGCATCATGCACTGTGCCTGTACCCGAGGTCTTCATGCATCGCTTTGATTCCCTCTGGACGCGCGATGTTGAGGCTGTGATGGAGCAGAACGCACGCACTTTCCTGAGGTGTGTTTTTTTGCATGCTTATGTCAGACCATGATCTGAGAATTTCGGCCACTTCCTCTGGCGACGCAGATGGTTTACGACACGCGTCAGAAATCTTCTGCCAGAAGTAGCTATCCTGAGAAGCCGGGGTATGCATGATATCTGTTACAGCAGAGTCACTCACTTGAGCCACCCTCTTCAAAGCACGTTGCTTGCGACTTGAGCCTTTTGCGTGACAGCTCACGGGTGCATGCATCGTCTCCTGAGGTGTGAGGGAGAGCCTGCAGTATGATGTTGATAGCGACAAGAAGGCGGAAGAAACCTGGCTGCAAATGAGACTTGCTTTCACTGTTTGCGGCATCCGGGGTTTTGGGAGTAGAAGAGTTCGAATAGCAGGAGCTGTAAGCGATCATCTTCCTAAGCCAGCGTCGGAGCACAGAGCCCCAGCTCTTTCCGAGGCCTGGCTGATCGAGCAGCTCCACATGTACAAGGCAAAATCTGACTGCTTGACAACACGCTGATGGAGTGTCCCCTCTCGCTCCCCACCCCTCCCAACAAAAATGGACCACTTCGGACAAGTTCCTTTGAACGTTTGGGTTTGGGTGTCTACGGATCGTTCCTATCTTGCAGGACCAGATGAAGGTCTGAAGGCTCGAACCCCCCAAAAGACACCTCTGACGTGTAAAGCTACCTTGGTGAATCCTGCACAAGGAGTGAAGGGCAGCCGAGCTGAATCATCGTTTGGCATTGTGTCCTTTTCCCCAATACGAATGGTCTAAAGGATCACCAGATCGAAGTCAATACGCCATCCTGAGACCCCGCTCATAGCTCCATTATACCTAGATTGCGGGAGGACAGAGTGGTCGGGCAGACGATGGCTGCACTGGAGGCAGGCATACTTCGGGCATTGAGAGTGTACGGTGCAGAACTTGTGCAGGCAGTGCGAATGCATACCTTTGGCAATGGAAAGTCCTTGCCCGTAGTTCCTATATCCGCAGTCTCAAGTCCATCATTCTGAAATTTTCCTTCGATACCCGTAGGTTACTTCCCAGCATGTCTGCCGAACTCCTGTATGTTTTCATGCAAAACGCTTGCGACTCAACAGGACAGGGCCGGCTTCAAACCTGATCCCATGAGGGTTCACAGCTTTACCCGCAGGAGGAGTTCAAGAGCTTGTTCCCGGCGGATTTTACACTCTTGCAGCAGCCTCAAGTGTTTCACAGATACTTACAGAATGGGCTAGCTGGAGCAAAAAAACTTCCTTTAAGCTAGCAATAAGATCACCCATAAACTTTGGTACTTCCACGACGGATGGGCAGTGGATCCACGTCATTGAGATCAGGTTTTGGATTTTCCGGTAAGTTTACGGCATACAATCACAACAATTGGGGATTCCCCGAGCCTCCTCAACCATTGCGCATCACGGAACATATAGACAGCACGCACAGAGTACCTAGAGCACAAGTCTGGAGTGCGCAAAAATTTGAAAAGAGAAGGAAGCTGCAGCTGCACCACAAGCGAGCAATGGGCCTGCTGTGCACAGAAAAGGACGTTGGCAGTAGGTATAGGAGCACGTCGGCCTCATGTTTGGTTTTGGCTTTGTGATCTACAGGATGCTGGACAGGGTTTTCTGAACAGTGAACCCTCAACAACCAGCTGAATCCACGCTCTTCAGCCAAAGCCTGACAGTCAGCCCAAACCATTGTCAGGAACGGAAGGTTCAATTTGAACGAGCAGAAACTGCGGCAGCAGACCTTCGTGCTGGCTGCTCAGATCTGTGAAAACTATCGTTGTCAGCAATTCGGCATTTGCCAAAGCCCCGCAAATTCGAAATTACATCATGGCCTATGCGGCACAGCAAGGCTCACCGAAGATGGACGCAGCGTTCGGGAGACAGATGCCACGCAGGCAGAGCTTGAGTCTAAAACAGATGCGGCAGCGGCAGCAGCAGTCGAGTGCGAAGCATATTTCGTTGGATTTTGCAGTGTTCGCTTTCTTGTTGTCGCGGGAATATGGGTGCATTTTTTCCACAGCCGTGCATGTCCGGTTCCCGTTTCTAGGTCCAGCAAAAGGTGTCTAAACTGGTTTTGAGGTGCTCTAAGAAACAGTTAAACGACTTGTGCAATTGACCGCAGTCGTTAGCTCCAACCACTGGTCAGGACATTCATCGAATGTGGGAAAGTGATCGGTATGGCCTCACGCAGACCGTGGTGGTTGCTTGACCGTTTGGCGCTTTGTGCTGTGTGAGTGCGGTGCTCCGTATATTCTCATGCAGATCTGGAAGTCTGAACTCGCAGACCCCGTAAACCCTGGCCCGACAGTTGCCTCGCCCGTATTGGTCGGCTACACTGGCCTGAGTAGAGTCTGTTCAGACACTTGCCAGGTATGTCCAGGCAAACTCGCTGGAAGCGAGACCATCCAGTGGCACGCTTACCTCTCCTAACTGCGAGGAGAGAGTTCCCGCTTAGCACGCAAGCCTCTGCATAGCAGAAGAAGCAGCCATTAGCCTCGACTTTCATGTTGCAGCTGCTACGCTTCTGAGGCTCAGCGTGGATGCAACCATCGCTGCATACGCAAACTTCCAGGCAAGGCACTGAGAGTAGGGCTCCATCGAGCTGCAACAGAGAGATTACTGGCATGCCCTGAGCATCTGAATACTTGCACTTATCTCCCGAAGTCGCGGAGCATCCAAGATGGAGAAGCCTGTTGTCCGGACATTGAGAAACGGAGTGCCTATCCTCCAACGATCTCCAACGCCTTTTATATTCCTAAGGAAACTATGTTGTAGCGTTTTGGTATGAACGCTCATGAAGGCAGCAAACACTATCCCTCGCATGGTTCGGGTCCATGCACAGGAGCGGACACATCGGGTGGAGCAGATCTTCGCACTGCCAAGCCAGAGTCTTAAGGATTGGGCAAGCGTACCCCTATGGACCCTTGCACCCTGCACCCGAATACATTCAGGACTTCGACATGCCTCGGCTGCAGTTCAACGCAACCTAAGCTCTCAGAGGGTTCGTTTTGCTGGGTATCGCAATTCTGCAGTTGGCCGCAAGGCTCCAAGCCATGGATCGTTGAAGACTACACCGGAGGGTCCCTGCCAGAAGGGGAGTTCCCTGTCACATCCAGGTGACCACGCCCCGAAAGCCGGCTTTGCAGGAGGTGCTTTCCAGGCCTGCTAACTTGAAGTTCAGCACATCGTTTTCAACGCACTCATCCAGTCAGTGCCCGGTCAAAACCCAGTTGCAATTTAGCGACTGTAGCCACAAGCCTTTGAGCAGGAACTATGTCTCAACTACTTCAAGCAAATCCACGTCCATGCCATCCACTATTGCCGCCCCAAGTTGAAGGCTTGGGGTGCTGAGCTGAGTGTATTGGAGCTCGAATTCATGTAGGCAGGATTTCGATGGTTGGACCCCTACGAAGGTGGTCGGATATGTCACCAGCACTCAGAAGATGTGAATTCTGTTGATGTGAGCGGCTGCTTCGACTACAGTGAGTGAGGCGTTACTGGCGCGGCTCTACCAGGAGCGTCATTTGAGACAGGCAGCGCCACCTGCCAAACATTGCTCGTGTAAATGTCGTAGTATGTAGCCACGCACTGAGTCGAACAAGATGCGTAGTCCATCCAGCCAGAGTTGGAGTGAGAATGAGCGGGAGGCTGAGGGCAGACTGACTTCTAATTGCATGAGGCATTGCAAAGAAGCCCCGCGATGGCCAAGGTGAAGGCCTTGTCGAAAGTTCTCCCGGGGCTTTCTTGCTAGGCCGGCCCTTCACGTCATTGGCTTTAGCTGGTTTTGGAAGGTCGAAACCCCAGCCCCAAGCCATCCTAAGCCCAGAACCTCCCAGCCATCGTGTATACGACCGAAAGCAAATCCCAAACAACCCGAGACCTCCCGGTCCCGTTCAAACCTTCGAAGCAACATACCGGTACCCCGAGCCCAAGCCCGCAACCTTCTCCGGCGCGCTCGCCGTTCAGGAGAAGACGGGGCAAATCCTCAAGCGCGAGACCAAGAGGTGCGGTCACTGAGTTAGGGAGGAGGCCTCTGCTGTTGAACCGCGCCCTTATGCTGTAATGCAAAAAAGATACCATAGCAATCCCCATAATTGCGTCCAATACACTACATCGTGGTATCTTGCGGTATATCGTACGGTTCGGGGTTCAAGCGACAGCAGAGACTCGGGAAGCTTAAGGCATCCTGATGAAGTGCGGCTCAGTACGAGGGCTAGAGATCTCCATCGCAATGAAAACTATTCACTCTTTCTGGGGGAACCCGATAGTTTAGAACTCCGCTCTGCGATGTCAAGTTTAAGGTTGGATCCAACTCCGCTCGTCCGTATTGTCAGCATTTGTCGGTTCGGCTGTAGGTTGAAAAGGGGCTCGGAGGCTCCCCGGGAGGTTTCATCGCCAGTTATGAGATTCGAAAGCACCGCGGCCCTAGGCTTTAGGGTGTTTTTGCATGGTGATGTAAATTTTAAACATCCAATTAGAACAATGACCAGCTGCTTTGAGAATTTCGGGCTTAGTGCAAGCAAACATCCTAGATCCCTATGGTCCTTTGGCCTAACATCTGCAATTCTAGAACCCCCAAGACAGCAGGCCAGCAACACGCTTGATCCCGTGTCGATGAGAGCTCATGAACGGTTAGATGAGATCCCTGTCCGGTCAGGAAAGACCGTCTCAGGCAAGGCGCTTTGCTGTGTCGAGTCCCGGGGTTTCAGCATGTGCGTTCACCAAAGGCGATTTTACATGTTCCATGCATCCAAGCCAGAGCTTGTCGTAGCCAAGACATGAGAAATATCTGTGATAGAGCAGTGCCAAGCAAGACTTGGAGTGGAGGCGCGAGCTGAATTCAATGAGGGAGACCTTGAGGACGACGGATCCCAACAGGAACCACGGTCGTCGATGAAAGATGCTTAGGGGATCCCAAGAGCACGTCAAGATCGCAGTTTAGGGTATGTATGGTCAGGGATAGTGGTGTCTAGGGGTCTTCATTTGATGGTCCTTGCTGCAGTGGCATCACAAGGAATTTCAGCGGGATGCCCAAAACGACTTCGACAATTCTTTGACCGTCCGAAGGATCATTTTGCGCTTCAAACAGGACATCGAATTGTTTAATGTCTCGTCAAGCTTAGCCTAGCTGAGTGAGCTTTTTAAGTGATGCGAGTTGGGCCAGCAATTGGCCCCATTTTTGTTGTTGCGCCATGGGATGCTGCAGCTGCCAATGATGGTCCGGTGTTCAGGGTGGAAATGTTGGGCTTTTAGGTTTTACGGTTTTCGGAATCTGGGTCTTCCTGCTTACTACAGAGCTTTGAAGCTGTGTGTGTATGTGGAGGGCGGGCATTCTGCAGATCCTGTCTGTGATGTCACAGCCATGGAGAGAAAGAGTCACGTTGCACGAAGGATTGACAAAACATGAGAAGGACACAAATATCGTCGGGAATTCATGGGTCGCTTAAGTTGCTAGTTCACTAGAGACACTGATTCTTCGTTTTTAAAGTGTATTTAAGGTTTCTTTTTCTGTTTCGAAGGTGTTGAGAATTTTTGGTAGGCAGGGTTCAGAAGGTCATTTGGCTGATACACGTTAATCTGTCCTAAAGCTGCCATATCCATCGGAAATGCTTTTACAATAGGAATCTCATGGTTTAATCCCACCCCCTATCCTGACCTTACACATGTGAAGTAGCGGAATCTTGGAGGGCGTTTCAAACAGGTAATTTTACAGCAAGTCGGCTCGTGCCGGGCGAGGCCTCGGATCCATGGGGCGTGGATTTCCCAGAGTTTTTGGTTTAAGTAAATTGAGTTGGTTGGTAGACGGGAGGGTTTAAGTAAAATGAAGTGGTTAAGTTTGCTGAACACTTCGGCGAGTTTGATGGAGCTGTTCAGTGTGTATTTGTTGATCAAAATGGTTTAGGGTTAGGGGTTGGTTGTGGTGTTGTCAAGGAGTGACTATGGAAGACTACTTATTTCCTTCCCGTGATATTCAGAAGCTTAGGGGTTTTAGGGGTACAGCGGACGCCTGGGGCAAAAGGTAGGCAGTTGCAAAAGCTGAGTGCAAACAGTTTTGACAGCTCCGGCCTCGAGCGGCTCCACGAGGAGCCGACCCCCGCGTGGGTTTAAAAATGTTTATGTGAGTTGATAGGGTTTAGGGCTTAGGGTTTTGGGGTTTTAGGGTTTTCGGGTTTAGGGTTAAGGGTTAAGAGTTAAGGGTTAAGCGTGTAGGGTTGAGGGCTTAGGGTTTAGCGTCCAGATCTTCTCTGCAGTTATCTCTTTAGTGGCCAGCTGAAGAGAGCCCGAGGGAAAATGGAACTCTCTGTCCTCAGAGTTGATAGGCCTAGAGTATCGTAGAGTGAATTGTCGTAGGGCTTAGGGCTTAGATTGAATCGTTCAAGACGTCGCGTGTGCTCTTCTGCCGTTCTGCAGTTGAAGTTGCATTAGCATATATCCTTCGCAGATCTTGCAGCGTTAGAACAGGGCGCCAGTTGCCACGCAATATTGTTATTGATAGGGAATTGCAAAATTGCACAACATGACAGTCGACATCGTACACATGGGAGAATGGTAAGGGCCTCCCAGCAAGCAAATGCTCAAGCTACAGCTGCTGCCGCCTAGCCTTGCGATTGCCAGGCACATGCAACAGGGAGGTATGAAACAAATTGCAGCACAGTAGCTTCTGCACGGCAGTCCCGGGATTCTTGCACTACCGCTGTATCCGCCAGATCTAACCCATTCGTGCAATTCACAGCGATGTTGAGACAACTGTGCGTCTTCTCACAGGTTAGCATGAACGCATGAAGCATGCGACTTAGCTCTGCTCGATGCCACATTTCAGGTGCCCAGCCGGCGGCGTGAACTCTTTGTCAACGATGCCGCGGCCTCAGCCTGTAGCTGTCTTTGTCCAGAGTCCGGCAATCGGAAATCCCCATTGCACTGCTGCACTACACGAGGCATTTTTCGGGGCTCCATGCTGCAGTCCACTGAAGAGCTTGGAAGGCCGACTCGAAGTTTGGGTTCCAGGCCACGGCTCGGCGTGTCAATGACGGAGCTGTCACGAAAAGATTCAATGACTACGGCTAACACCCACCAGAGCAAACAAGAGCTCAGTTTTGCGATGCTGTACACGAGCTCAATGCTGAAATTGGAACCACAGGAGCCTCAGGCTCGTGAGGACATCGCTTCACATTGAGGCCTGCATACTCTATACCCCGAACCCCTAAACCTCCACCCTGAGCCCCAAAACCCCAAAATCCCAAGGCCTAAACCCAAAACCCCAAAATCCTAACACCCAAGTCCTCCACTATCCTAATGCCTAAAAGGGTTTGAAAGGCCTAAAAACCCTGGAGGCTTCCATATCAAACACCCTCAGAGCCGGGTAGGCTCTGAGTGCCAGTGCCGCCGACCCGGCGGCGCGGCGCGTCGCTACGGCGGTGTCTGGTCAGTCCAGTAAGGGTTCTATAAGGCTCTACGGGTTAATTTGGATCGCTGTCTCGCAGGCAAAATTCGGGCTTTAGGGTTTCAGCTTTGGGGCTCGGGGTTCTGAATGCCTATGCTCAGGTGATGGATGAGATACGACGCTACTTCAACCGCCAGGCCCCCTTTCGGTCGCAATACTGCTTGGGGTGTAAGCCTTAATTTCTCAGCCCTACTGTAAATCATCTGCAAGCCCCGGGTGCACATCAATATGTGAAGGTCGGTCACGCGTTTTGTGCCAAAGCTTGGGGCGGGATGTGGGTGCACGTCCTCTTGGAATCCAGCCCAACAGGGAAGCCAAAGCTTTTCGCGCGCAGTAGTTGTTTTGCACTCAAACCATGTTAAATCATGAAGTTGGTACAGGAGAACCGAAGAGAGCAATCAGAATTGTTTCAAGACTTCTGCAAAGTGCAAATGCCAAGAGTATCCAAGCATTTTTCTTGAGTCCGGCAACAGCCCCATGCTCCATGGCCACTCCAGTTGCCCGAGCAGCACTGAGCGCCCTTCTGCAAGATAATGGAGATCATCTCCACTTCGACAGCGTAGCTCGGCTCAGCGCGACATGCAAAGGCCTGCTGCAGGTGGTTTCCAGGATGAGGTTCACACCATCGATACTTCAAAATGCCGTCGAGCTCTTCAACAGCAAAGCAGGAAGCATTAGCGGCCTCTCTTTGAGTGCACGCCGCGAGGCCTTGTCTGAGGCTGTCGGCCGCATGGTGGATGATGCTCCCCGTTATCCGCTTGAAGATGTTCAGCATGAGCACCTTGTCACAGGCCTGAAAAACAGGGCGGGGAAATGGCCGAAGAAGGTCCTCCAGCGTGTGGAGCAACGGGACACTCCTGCGCCAGCTCGCGGGCCTGGCTTGGCTTCGAAGCTGCTGGCGGCCTGCGACGCAGCTTGGCTGGACATCGGCTCAGTGCACCGGGTAGGTGGTGCCGCTGCGAGCCGCATGGACATCACGAGTGGAGGTCATGATGACTACTGCTATGAGTATCGAGCTCGCTTTGTTGAGAAGTTGCAGATGCGAGGTGAGCGAGCAGTACGAAGCTTCAATGACATGCGCCAGGAGCTGGATGAGTATGACTTGTTCTCTGGCCTGCACAAGGGCAGTCTGTATAAGATTGATCTGGACAAG